GACATTCATCACTACCATCCCACGAAACATCCACCCCTTTTCAATTTCACATGTTAGGTTTTCGTGAGAAAAGAGAATTTTGGTGACTCACTAAAGTATAATTTTTGGGCTATTCGATCGATTATAGATGTAGGTTTAAGATTTTGGTTTGAATCTAGTTAAGGTGGTGATTTAGGATTGGTTAGAGGCGGGAAAAAAAACCTAGGTTTTGGGGAACTAGAAGACAAAAGGGAAACTGGTTGAGTTTTAAGTCGTTTTAGACTAAGAGGAAAAAAGAGATGCATCGAGTGAGAAGTTAAATATGAGCTAGGTTAGGGTTTTTGGACTAAAAAAGAAGGAAAGAGATCAAGTTATCTTTCTAGATGATAGGGCTTAAAATGAAGAGATCGTTCGATCTTCGTTAGAATTAAAGAAAAATCGAGTTAAAGGAGAGGCAATGAATGGAGGAAATGAAGTGAGCTAGTGATTTGAGTTTGAGATGAAACTCTTAGCTTGGCTTTTTGGATTTGAAAAAGAAGAAAAGAAATTAGGCGATTTATGTAGAATAGGGATCTAGGCAAGCAAGATTAAAGAGGATGTTGGGTTATAAAAGAATCTAGGATTGAAGAACGAGGACTATAGAAGAGAAGAGAGAAGGAGAAAGATGAAAAATTTAGGACTTTTATTTGTTTTGATTTGGGAATGAATTGAGAAACCTTTAAAGGGCCGGTGGTGTTGGTTTGTTTGAAATGAAATTGCAAAGGGGTTGGTCCTAAGTGAAAGATTAAGCACGCTAGGTTTTAGCCCAACCCACATGACCAAGCCTATGATTTCAGCTTCAGCCTAGTGCTCGAAAATGGGAAAAGAGTGGCGTCCTCAAGCAAGCCAAGACAACGACCAACCCAATGGGCCTAGCTTATCGGGCCGAAGGCCTACTAGTTTTAAAAAGCTCAATAACCCTAATTTTAGCCATTTTTTTAGAAAAATCAGTTTTGAAATTTTAATACATGCCTTTTATTTTATGCCTAGTTTAGATTTAATTTTTTGAATTATTGAGTTTTTCACTTATTTATTTACTTAGTCAATGTTTAGTTTTTAGATTTTACATCAATGATTGGATTAAATAATTAATTGGTGGATGAATCATCGAATCTCCCAACTCGTTAAGGACTTATGACGATTCTCTACTAACAAAAAATAAGGATCGATGACGATTCAAGAAGATTCATTACTTGTGAGCATTTGAAAGAAAAATTTCCTTCAACTAAAAACAGATAAAAATTACAATTTGGTATTCAAGAAGTAACAAACATGTCATCAATTTTCATAGAAATTAATAAAATTACTTGATTGGTAATTAAAAAAATATGAATATACTAAAAATAATAAATAATACATTTATTCAATTGAGAAAAAAAGAGAAAGATTATAATTTGATATTTTGAAGGGTAACATATACATTATCCCCTTGATTGATAATTTTTTAAAAAATTAGTGTGTTAAAAAAAATTAAAATCTATATATTCAATTGAGAAAAGTTTAGAAGTTAGCATACTTTTCATCCAATTATAAAAAGAAAAAGAGAAAGAAAAAAAGAAAAACGGAAAGAAAGAAGAAGAAGAAGAAGAAGAAGAACAAGAAGATATTCTTCATGTGAGCTTAAAGCCCGATCGTTTGCATCTGGGTTCAATTTAGCAAAGAACAAAAAATAAATAAAATTCTACTGTCAGGTTTGAATCCAGATTTCATCATGGTTGAAATTGCTATTGTGCTACAACGCAACTTACGCACCATTATGCCATGCAATTTTTTTTTTTTTTTTTTTAAGGTTAAGTGTATGTTTTAATTGAAAAATTAGATAGATAAAAATCGGAGTGGTTACATAAAAAATAAAGAATAGAAAGAGATGATAAATAAATTTAAAAAAAATGGTATAGGAACCATATTAAAAAATAGAAGAGTAGAGGGATGCTTGATATCATTATCATTTTACATATTGTCATAGATTAGACGCCACTCGTACACTTATGTCTATGTGTCCTAACTGACGGCTATTCGGTGCGGCCTTTGTTTCGGTACGGCCACAGAACGTCACGCTCGCTGCACGTGCTAATCGCAGGGCCGGAGTCAGCTCCGCGATTTTAGCACTCGTGAATGGGAACAGCATGAATCTGGTCCGCTGATTTCACCAAATCTCGATGTCCGAAGCCATTCAAGTCAGAGGTATTGAATGTTTCTTATTTGTATGCTGGTCTTAGTCGGTGGACTTGTTGGCGGTGGACTGTGACAGTGACGTGGAAGATTGAGGGTCGGAACTGACGCGGTTAGAATATAGATCACGTCAGTTGTTTTAGTTGACAAAGACAACGTACATATCTGATCAAAACTAGTGAAAACTAAATTGATAATGTGACAGCAAATCAAGTTTGTCACAAAAAAATGAAAAATCGATAAACAAATCAAGTTATTGATAAAATTAAAATATTAAAAATTAAATAATTAATATTTTTTTAAAAAAATTAATTAATTATTTTTTTAAATAAAAGAGATTAATTTATAATTTACTCTCGATAATACAGTAACATAGTTATTATTATTATTATTATTATTTAAGTAGAAGGTTCAATGGGCATGACATTACACAGTGAAAGGTAGGCCTTCTAGGTATATAAATGTAATTGAAAAACTATAAATTAAGAGTACTTGAATATTGTTTCATTGAAAAAAATTATTAAATACACGACCACTAAACTAACTCTCCTCGTGTGTGCGTAGGTGTTTTTTCACACGATATATAGTTGGTTAATTTCTTTGCTGGTAAAGTAGTTAGCTGAGTTGATCTATGCAAGTTTGTGACTTTTCATCAATTGAGGGCATTCATAGGAGAGAGACTGAGGCAGATATGTACAACATCGTTGCCTTTGCATTAAGTCTATGTATTGTCTTTCGCGTTGTCTTCTTAATTCTTATCCCTCATAAGCCTGAAAAAATGTGGCATGGGAATTGCCCATCGCTGGTTTGCAAAATGCCAATAGGAACAGGACGGAAAGCAAATGATGAATGGGGTGGTCACCACCAATGGCATGGACATGTGAAACAAAGCCCTCTAAAAATAAAATAAGAACAGAGAAGATATTAACAATATATATTATACTATATAGCTAGGAGAAAGATATTGAAAAAATTAACAGAAACTTTTATTTTGCTGAACTTTTAAAAGATGGCGTGATACACCAGATTCAAAAACATATATATAAAGGCATGATCTGCTAAGATTAAATCCCTAAAAAATCTCTAACTACTTGCTAAAAAATCCTATCTAACTCCAGTAATGCTAGTTCATAGATTGACTAAGTCTTCCCATAAAATAGCAACTGATTTATTGACCTAGTAATCATAAAATAAAATAAAATAGGAAACAATAAATAATTAAAGAAACAATTACATGTAAGATGCACTAATTTTAACACTCCCCTTAGTGCATGCTTACGCTCAACAACTCCAAGAGCAACTCTAAAACTTTCAAACTTTGGCTTTCCTAAGGCCTTCGTAAATATGTCGACAACTTGATCATTTGTAGAGATTCCTTTCAGTTCAATTTCTTGATTCAACACCTTCTCCCGAATATAGTGATGGCGAACCTCAATATGCTTTGTTCTCCCGTGAAACATTGGATTTGATGCAAGTTTAATGGCACTTTCATTATCACATTTAACTCGCACAACATAGTCAATTTTGCACGACATATCTCCCATCAACCTCTTCAACCACATACATTCTTGTGCAACCATGGTTGTCGCCACATATTCAGCTTCGATACTAGATAAAGCAACCACGTATTGCTTCGCTTACACCAAGATATCACATCCGAACCAAGTCTTGAAATAGTAACTCGAAGTTGAATGTCTATCGGCTGCATCTCTTGCCCAATCAGCGTCGAGTAAAACCACTTAACATGAAATTTTCACCCTTCTGTACATAAGACCATGATCAAGAGAGCCCTTTACATAGCGCAGAATTCTCTTTCGTCGCATCCAAGTGAAGATTTCTTGGACATTGCATGAACCGAGAAACAACACCAACAGAATAAGCAATCTCGTGTCTTGTGATAGTTAAATAAATTAAACTACCAACAAGTTGTCGAAATTTTCTAGCATCCTTTAACAGCTTCCCTTTATCTTTCATTAGCTTAAGATATGACTCCATTGGAGTAGCCTTTTCTTTCAACTCCCCCATGCCAAAGCGTTGTAGGAGCTCCTTTGCATATCCCGTTTGAGAAATGAAATACCTCTACTCGATTTTTCAACTTCCGGACCAACAAAGCAACCAACATGCCCCAAGTTTTTCATCTCAAATCGAACGGATAGGTCATTCTTTAACATAGAAATCTCGACTTCATTATCTCTAGTAATTATCATGTCGTCCACATATAATAATACTAGCAAATGCATTTTTGATTCCGACTTAATGAACAAACTAGAATCTGCATCGAAACTTTGAACCCACAAAAGATAAAGTATTGAGCAACTTTATCATACCAAGCACGTGGTGCTTGTTTGAGGCCATATAATGCCTTTTTCAGCCAACAAACATGGTGTAGATACTCGCTTAGAAACGTAACTTTTAGGTCGTTCCATAAACAATTCATGATCCAATTCTTCGTAAAGAAATGCATTCTTTACATCAAGTCGCCATAATTTCTAATTTCTAAAAGTCGTAAGAGAAAAAATGGCTCTTAATGTTACCATTTTTGCAATCGGACTCGAATGTCTCTTCGTAATCAAGCTCGTAGCTTTGAGAAAAACCACGTGCAACAAGTCGAGCTTTGCATCTATCAACGATCCCATTTGATTTTCTCTTTAAATGATAAATCCATTTATATGTGATTGGCTCGTAATTTTTTGGTTTTGACATCAACTCCCATGTCTAGTTCTTGTTCAAAGCTTCAATTTCTTCTTCCATAGCCGCTTTCCATTTTGGATGATCTTTGGCTTCCTCATAACTTTCTAGCTCTTCTTTATCTACTCGCTCCAGTGAAGAAGCATGAAGTAATAAGTGCAATGATTGATCCGTGACTCATAATCTTCAAGGTACCTTGGTCGTCTTTTCTCCCTCGTGGACCTCATTTGAACTTGTAGTTCATCACCGTTTGAATCCGAGTTGTCCGGAATCGGGCACTCATCATTGTTTGAAGTCTCTGTGTTATTTTTAGGAAATAGCTATAAATTTTCTTGATCACTATCAATAGTAGCTTCTTGAATAGACATTTTCACGGCGTAAAAATAAGATGACACTTCGTCGAATACAACATCTCTAGAAGTGACAAATTTTTTTGTTTTCGGATCCATACACCTCCACCCTTTTCTACATGAATCATAGCCAACAAAAACACACTTCTTTGCTTTCGGGTCAAGCTTAGTTCGGTTAGATTTAGGAATATGAACATAACAAATTGAACCAAATACCCGAAAGTAATTTACATTTGGCTTTATATCATATAGAATTTCAAGAGGAGATTTCTCCTTACTCGCCAAGGAGGTATACAATTTATTACATGACATGCACATTGAACAACTTCGACCTAAAGCTCACGAGGGAGATTTTTATCATGCAGCCAAGAGAAACTCATAGAGATAAGATGAGCTAATTTCCTTTCGAAACACCATTCCGCCAAGGAGTACTAGGACATGTCATTTTTCGTGAAATACCATTATTGTTGCAATACTGGAAGAAATCACCCGACATATATTCACCTCCATTGTCACTCCGCAAGCATTTAATCTTTTTCCCAAATTCCTTGTCTACGGCATTTTTGAATTCGACAAACATTGATAGTGCTTCACTCTTATCTCGTCAAGAATTTCACCCAAGTGTACTCGGAAAAATCATCTACTAACACCATGACATAGCGATTTCCACTATAGCTTGGTGTTTTTGTCGATCCCATCAAATCTGTATGAACCAAGTCGAACATGGTGGATCTACGATTTGATGACTTCTTGAAAGGAAGATGATGTGATTTGCCAAATTGATGACTCGATAAATTACATCTTCATGAACATTTTTTAAAGCTCGGTATGCCTTCCACCAACTTCTTTGACGAAATCTGCTGTAGGAGTTGATAGCCTAAATGACCCAACCGAGCATGCCAAATTGCTGCACCGTCGCTTGGCTTGTCTTCTTCACATAGGCTTCCCCATCGACATGACAAATAAGGAACCTTTATTCTCACTAGTGACAACGACATCAGCAGACTATATTCTTCACATTATTGAGAACTTTTACATCATTGGGACCAAACAAAACATATTTTTTAGAATTTGTAATTTGAGACACTAAAACTAAATTTCTCTTTAAACCCGGAACATAATAGACATCATTCAACTTCACACTACTTGCATCATCAGCTCCAATCTTCACGACTCTTTTTTTGCTATCGGACATGCCGAGTTATCTGCTATACCAATAACTCTCTCTTTATTATGTTGATGTAGCTCGATAGTAGTGAGTCATTTCTAGTTACATGGTGAGAGCAACCGAATCAATGATCCACTCCTCTTTACAGTTTTCATAGTTGAAAAGAGCTTGGGCTTGTTTTGACTCAAGCATCAATATTGTTCTTTCCTTCAGCTACTTCGTAGTAAAGCATTGCTCCCATTTAAGTTGATCCCTTCCTTCATTTTCACTTGCCATATTTGCTTTGAAAAGCTTCACTCTATAATTTTTCTTGATGTGCCCAGCTTTACCACATCCGTAGCACTTGAAAGAATTGTAATTTTATGAACAATCATCGGTAGTTTTTCCCATATTCGATCCTTTTTCGCTATTCTTATTTCCTCCCGGTATGTTCTTCTTATCGTGCTTCCTCTTTGAGAAGAGAACGACATCCGAATCAAAACTATTTGCCATTTGCTTTGCCAAAGCCTCTTGGTTTGAAAGAAAACTTTCTAATTCTTCAACCGAAGGCCGATTGGCCGATCCCCGAATGGAGGTAACAAAAGGAATGTACTCCTTCTTCAATCCTTGAATAAGAAACCGTCGCAATCTTGCTTCACTAATCTTCTCATCCGTATCCAAGTCTGAAATTTCACCACAAATGCTTTTAACCCGCAGGAAATATTCGAAATAGACATACCTCCTTGTGTAAGCATTGCCGGTTCATTTTCTAGCAATTGTAATCTTGCTGTATTCTTTTTGGAAAATAGCCTCTCAAGTGTCTCCCATACTTCTTTTGGTGAGTTAACATCACGAACATGATCAATAAACTCTTTGCCAATTGAAGTCCTTAAAGCAAAGAGAGCTTTACCACACTTGATCTTCCATTTTCTCCGTGGTTCAAGCATTTTCCGAAGTGTCTGCAGGAATTTCGCTTCAAAGCACCGAGTAACCAATTCCCACAAGTCTTGACCTTGCGGATAGGCCTCCATACACATTCTCCAAGTACTTGTAATTCGTCCCTACAAGCTTCTCAACACCATATCGTGTGTTCGAGCTACTTCCCCCATTTGCTAACTCCATATCTCCCCACCATTTTCAATCTCCTCCAACAAGACAAAACAAACTTGATAGATAAGAAGAAAGAAAGGAATGTAAAAGTGCCCGAACTAGGCTCGATACCAAAAAATAAAACTAGAACAGTAGAAGATATTAACAAGTATATATTATACTATATAGCTAGGAGAAAAATACTGGAAGAATTAACGAAACTTTTATTTTGCTCGAACTTTTGAAAGATGACGTGATACACCGTATTCGAAACATATATATAAAGGCATGATCTCGCTAAAATTAAATCCCTAAAAAATCTCTAACTACTTGCTAAAAAATCCTATCTAACTCCAAGTAATGCTAGTTCATAGACCGACTAAGTCTTTCCATAAAATAATAACTGATTTATTGACCTAGTAATCATAAAATAAAATAAAACAAAAAATAATAAATAATTAAAGAAACAACCACATCTAAGATGCACTAATTTTAACATTGCTTTCATGCCGGCATGGCAAATGATGATGCCTGCCTATTGCATCGCTGTTAGATTTAAATTTTTTTATAGGGGATAAGTTTGGTCATGCTAGGTTGTTAAGGTGGGCAGGACGGCAACCTGCCCATGATGTGGTTATCTTCATAGGCCTCGCCAAGTTTCTGTTTTATAAAGAGATTACTCATCAAATATCTGTTCACCAGTGAAAGATCTTGGGTATTTGGGTTTTTAAAAGTAACTCTATTAAAATATCTTTTATTGAATTTTTTAGATCAAATCCCCTATAAAAATGAGTGATAATGATTGCGGAAATTTGTACAAGGGCAGATAGCAAACAGGTATATATATATATATATTTTTTTTGGCATACGACAAGCAGTATAAGAATAATTTAATTACTTTCGTAAATGACTCAGTGTGCCGTTGTAATTGAGTTTTGTAAGTACTACAAACAAGAGTGCATTACACTTTTGAAAAATGTCTGATGTCTGTACTATAATGCTTTCTTGGTGGCATATAAAAGAGTCCCATGGACAGCATAACCCCAAATCACCAAGGGGATTCTGTGTGGCCCAACAGTTCGAAAACAGTTGTTTTAGTTACAAGAAACTGAGGTTATATTGCTTTTAGCGACTTACAATTCTACTAATAGTCATCTCATTTATAGAACAAGAAGATCCTTCTTCTACATCTAAGAGTATGTGAGGATTACAGCAAGGTTCATTAAAAATGAATGCAGGTTGTTTTGGAGATGGAATAGTTGTTTCCGTACTATTCAACATGAAAACAACTGCCAACATGGATGGCCTGTCCATTGCATGTTCTTGCACACATAAGAGCCCAATTTGAATGCATTTCATAGCTTGTTGAGGATTATACAAATCTTCCAGTGACAAATCAACTATCTCCAATGCTCTGTCTTCCTTCCACAGCTCCCACACCTATACGTGTTACACAACATGAAACATGGGAATTGACATCAATTTAAATTTGTAAATTTTTGAAATGATCACGACCACTGAAACTTTCTAATAACTTACATATCCAGTCAAGGTCAGGGAAGGATCTTGAGGATCAAATTTGTTGCTCTTCTTGCCACTTATAATCTCCAACAGCATGACCCCAAAACTAAAAACATCTGATTTTAAGGAGAAGTTTCCAAATGCTGCGTACTCAGGGGACATGTATCCACTGCAAACAAAAATATGATACTAAGATAGTCTCAGAAGTTTCAGGTCCTGCATTCATGAAAACTATGCAGAGGATATGATCACTCTCTCTCTCTCTCTATCTCTTTGGTTGGACAAGTTTACTTACAATGTTCCTACTACTCTATTTGTCTTGTCTTGAGTTTGATCGCTTTCGAATATTCTGGCCAAGCCAAAATCTGAAATTTTCGGGTTCATCTCCGCATCCAATAGAATGTTGCTGCATTTCAAGTCCCTATGAATGATTCTCAACCTTGAGTCCTGGTGAAGATATAGGATCCCCCGGGCAACACCAACAATGATATCAAAGCGTTTGCTCCAATCCAAGAACGACCTTCTTGTATCATCTGTAGACATAGAAAAATCCTTTTCAAGAAATTTACAAACTGACAATCACTCAGCTTGAGTAAAACAGGGAAATCAATACCTCATAAACAGGGAAATTTACAAACTTACCAAAAAGGATTGAATCCAAGCTTTTGTTCGGCAAGTATTCATAAATTAACATTTTCTCTCCTCCCTGAATGCAACATCCGAGAAGCTTCACAAGATTCCTGTGTTGAAGCTTTGCAATTACCAAAACTTCATTTTTAAATTCTTCTATTCCTTGTCTTGAGTTTTTAGATAGCCTTTTTACTGCAACCTCCTGTCCGTTAGGCAGCTGACCCTAAATCAAGATCACTTGTTGCAACAGTAAACATCAAAATCACAACAGGACAACTTGAGAAGAGCAAACATGTGTACGCATGATATATTGAGAAACAACTGATCAGTTTTTGGGTATTTAATTTCCGTAAGAAACTACCTTATAAACTGAGCCAAAGCCTCCTTGTCCAAGTTTGTTAGCCGGAGAGAAATTGTTTGTGGCAGCAGATATGGTGCTGTGCTTGAAAAATTCCAATTCAGTATCATTCCTACTTTCTTGCAGCTCATTCGCCACCAAAGCACCTTTTTGGTTTTCGAAATCAGGAAGAAAGTAAATTTCTTCCTATATATAAGGCATATGATAACCTGAACTTTTGGAAAAATAAATACATGACATGATTTAAATTGCTAAAAGCGAGATATAGGCTTTTTCTGTCTTACCTTTTCCTCCTCCCTTCCTAAGCCAGAAATAAGCACAGAGGCTAATGAGAAACCATGCTGAAGCGACAGATGGTACAAGTATTGCCAGCATCTGCTTCCTTTCAAGATAATCATTTGATTTTATTGCATATTCAGCTGCACCAGTGAAAACAAAAAATGTAACCAAAAAGAAAAGAAGCCTGGAAATTTTGAAGCAAGTTCATATCCAATTAGTTAGTCTTTTAAGAATCGAATCTTAACTCCCATCAGAAAATTTTATACCAGGAATAGGTACTGTACCTAATTCCAGTGCGTCAACACGAACATACAGATCATATCTGTCATTACTGTCAGATTTAACTGTGTCTATTAATTCACCATACCATGTCAAGCAACCACTCCCTTTACCAGGAATATCTATGCTTGCGTATGCTGAGCATGAACAATTCTGCTTGCATTCCTGTTCGCAGTCTGCACGACTCATGCTCATATCTACCCAAACTGCTGCTGAAGTATCAGGAAGCAATTTAATTTCCACTTTCACAAACCCTTCTCCATGCCCGCACACTGAGGAAGACTCTTGACGCTTCCTGACACAACCACCTGATCCATCTCTCAGCAACCAGTCCCTTGGATTCATGGGTTCGTACCCAGGTAGACACGCACATTCGAATCTGCCAACGTCAGTAGGCTCGCAAGTGCTATAAGCACCACACCATCCGTAAGAATCGCATGGATACCTAGGTGCCTTCCACAAGTCCTTCCATCGACGATCACTTTCATGCAATCTTACCACCTTAACAATTCCTGAATGATGCACCATTAGTCTTTGGATAACAGAATCATCAGACGCAAGAGGGACTGCAGATGTTAGACATATTTCGTCTTGATCATTGACAAAGCTAGTGTTGTATGTATTCCTGTGGGGTCTCCACGGCCATGGGGAAGTTCGCCAGATACGGTTTTTACCCCTGTAGAGAAAGAATTGTGGTGAGCCATTTGGGTTTACCTTAAACGAATATTCCCCGATTCCAGGGTCTTCGGCTGACCTCCAAGATGTCAGGAACCGGTCGAAACCTGTCTTCAAATCTACCCCGAGTTTCATTCCCGGTAATATGTAGTTTGTTGGATAATCAAAGCTTTGCCATAGAACTTTTCTACTTTCCTGAACCAAAACAAAATTTCCCGAATCCAAAAGCTGAGCTGAACAGATGTCTATTACTTTCACTGCCACATTTGTAGACCAGACTTGGACTTTGTGGTCAAGGTTCATGTAGAGAGCCAGGTTTCCATACTCGTCAAATGAAAGAACTCCGGAAGGGTCATTGATGGGCTGGTTCCTATTTGCAACCCACACCACAGTTTGTTTAGGTACTTGATGGTACCAAATTCCAAGGTATCTACTGCTAGATTTACCTGGACTGAAAAATCCTAGTGCGAAAGTATTTCCTTTGGAAATCAAAACATCTCCGTCTTTGATGATTTGGTTGGTGTTTATGGAGTCCTTGGAAGTGCAAAGAATGAATTGGAGAATTAGAAGCAAAAAATGCATAAACAGTTTTTCAGCATCCATGCGATCAGCTTTTGGAGCTATGTGAGATCGTAATTGCTGCAGGTGAATGTGTGAAGTGAAGGACTACATCGTGAGAGACTTTTATACTTGTCCTATCGCTTGATAATTCTGTGTCTCTTGACAACTTAACCTTATTTATGTCAAAGTTTGAATTGGAACAAAGGATGACGTACTGACCAAGAAATCATGTTTTGACTTAATAAACTTGACTTTAATAAAACATAGAATTAAGACTTCTTAATTTTGATGTGGCATTAATGCATTAATCCTACATGATACTTAGCAGTCCTTGTTTAGTTTGTTCAAGGTATAAGTAGGGTGGGCATAATTCGGTTTCAACCGAAAAAGCTGACCCGAACGAAAATTGTTGAAAAATGAAAACCGAATTGCAATTGTCCAAAACTGAACCAAATAACCGTTGCTCACTCCTACATAGAAACAATGTTTTGGCTTAATAAGTTTTTTGTTGAAAAAGTTGAATACATTTATTAAAGTATTTATTTTCAAGTATATTTTATGTTGGTTTATATAATCAAGGAGTACTTTTTTAAGTTTCAACATACTTGAAACATGTTAGGCTATACCTAGTATAAGACAGTAATTCATAGATAGTAATCAATTAGGCTGATAATTCATAAGTTAGTAGCTGATTACTAGTTCTCATCACTCTTGGTTCTCATCTTATATCTGCAACGATCATGGTTCTTAGTTCTTGTAAGAAGTGTTATGTTTGGAGTGTCAATCTGTAAATATTCATAATTTTTTTATGATGTAAGTTTTTTATTTTCAGGTTGAGCATTGTATAGACATCAATATTGTGATTTGGATTCAGTTTGTTAAGGATTTTAAGTTGGTAATTTCATTGTTAATATTGCAACTTTGTTTTTTTTTTTTTTTAGTATTTAAATCGTTTAATCTTTTAGTTCTTAGTTTAGATCAATTATTTTGATTGCATATTAGCCTAAAAGTTTGAATTATTAGTTTAGAATAACCATTATTGTGAATAATTGTCTTTGCAAACTTGCAACCCTACTAGTTTGGGTAGGTCCCTTCTAAAGATTTGTAGACCGATTGCAACTAGTTTAATTTAGCTATTTATTAAGATAAAATACTAAAAATATCATTAGAATAAGTAGTATATTTAGAGTAATTACTTAGGGTCATCTATTTTTGAGTCTAGAAGATAGATTATGTTACGGACTACTATCCAATCATCTATTTATCTTTTGGTACAAAGTTCTCTTAATTGAAACTAGCATAAAAGAACTCGCAAGTAGATTTTACAACTATAATAGGAGTACTATTTTAGATGGCACCAAAAGAATTGACCAAAGTCCCATTAGCTTGGAACAAAGATGATGAAAATCATCTTTTTGCAACACATACTTGCTATGTAGGAAGGTCTATAATCAACAAGAAATGAAGAGACAAGTGATGTCTATGTCTTTTTGTTAGTTGAGGAAAGGTAAAACTAGAAGCTAGTTTTAAAAAAACCTATAAATTGATAGAAATTAAAGATCAAGCTTTAACTTAACATATAGAAGACAAACACAAACTAAAAATGGATTTAAGAAAAAACCATTATAAGGAGTTAATGTTGGCCACTAGCAAATTATTTTGATAGAATCCAACGTCAAAGAAGGAGAGATTGTAGTTAAATGGATAAGACATGACATAAACACTCTTCAAACCTTAGAAAGACAAGCTTATGTGGGTTTAAACCAAACCCTAATGGATGTGAGCAAACGTTTAGAGTCCAAAGAAAAAGAAAAAACAAATGCTATGATTATTGATTTCACTCATATCATGTCCGGAATTGTTCATATAATCACTAAACAAATGGCTCTAGAGGTTAGAAATCGGATGGATGAAAAATCTTTAAAAAGATTGGTCAAGCAAGACCTTTTAATATAAATCCACCTAAAAGAGCCTATAGTGATTCTTGTAGAGATGTGGTGGCTTCGTTGGGGCCTAAATATTTTTTCCAACCTACACAAAAACACATAGTGATAGAGGAAACTAGTAGTACTAAAAAACCTCTTACAAGCCTCCATGATTCCATAGAAACTAAGACTTATAGGCTCGTAATTTAGAAAGTAAGAGGGGAAATCATATAGAAAAATAGAGTGTTTTTTAATGATTAAGGGCAAGGGCAGATTGTCATCCCCTTGTACAACCTTTAATATCCAACCTTAGATAAATCCTATGAGTTATAGAATTAGCTTTTGGTCCAAGGATTCAACAAAAAAAAAAAAAAAAAAGGACCAACTTATAATCATCCTTATACTAATTATATTGATAAGGAATATCCTTACCCTCCTACTTTTAGGTTTCTTGATTTCACCTAGTTCGGTTAGTAAGGATCTGTCATAGCCACATGCACATTGCTATATTTATTTGCTAATATAGAAAGGCTATGTTAGAATCTATTTCATTTTTGTTGACACATATAGAAATGCATCAAAAACCTTACAGTATAATAGAATCTAAATTTTCTAAAGTGGGAAATACTTTACTTAATATAAGAGTATTTTTCTCGGTGAAAATTCTTTACATCATCTTTAAAAGATATCATGGACAATCTATAAAGTGAAAAAAAATATGTTTTACTCGTGTAATAACAAAATTTGATATGGGTTTGGGCCCAAATAAACGAAGAAATATTATAATGAGTTCTTCAATGAATTTTAATTTCTTTAATCGATTCTTTTTCTTAATCTTTTTTTTTAATTTTCTTAACTTAAATTCATTAGTTGAAACATAAATCATTTCCAATTCATAGAGCCCATCATTTACTCATTACCCAAAAAACCTAGTCTAGTTGAAATAAACTATGCGACTTACAACAGACAGCAAAAATTATCTAGATACATATAAGATAAGGACTCTAAACAAGATTAAATCATTGAAATAAATGTCAAAAATCAATCTTATTAAGTGGAAGAATAACAAAAATCTAGCTTCAATAAAGATATGATCAAGACAATAAAAAAAAAGAGAGATACCACAATACAAGAATTATAGAATGCTGCAAAGAACATGTTGCATTGCAATGCAAGAAAATTAGACTAAAAAAGGACATGGATACATGGTTTAATGCGAAGGAAATTGTCTATTGCAAAAGATCATGAAGAACAAAAAACCTATAAATACTAGTTGTAGTGGAACAATAACAACACAAAACTATGCAAACAATTTAAGGAGTAGTTTTTTCAAGTTTCAACATACTTGATACTTATTAGGCTATAGCTAGTATAAGACAAGTAATTCATAGGTAGTAATCAAGTAAATTGAAATTCGTAGGTTAGTAGTCGGTTACTAGTTTTGATCATTCGTGGTTCTCATCTTCGTGTCCGCAATAATCGCAATCCTCATTTTTTACAAGATGTGTTATGTTTGGAGTGTCAATTTGTAAATACTCATAATTCTTTATGAATGTAAGGGTTTTTATTTTCGGGTTGATGATTGTATAAACTACAATATTTTGATCTCGGATTTCAGTTTGTTGAGGATTTTTAGTTTGTAATTTCATTGTCAATATTGCAACTCTATTTTTTTAGTATTTAAGTCATTTGATCTTTCATTTCTTAGTTTAGATCAATTATTTTGATTGCATATTAGCCTAGAAGTTTAAATTATTAGTTTAGAATAGCCATTATTGTGAATAATTAGCTTTGCAAACTTGCAATCCTATTAGTTTGGGTAGGTTGTGAGCCCCATTTAAAGATTTACAAACTAATTAGAACGAGTTTAATTTATCTATTTATTAAGATAAAACACCAAAAAATATCATTCGAATAAGTAGTAGTATATTTAGAGTAATTACTTAGGGTCATCTATCTTTGAGTCTAGAAGATAGATTGTGTTACGTACTACTATCCAACCATCTATTTATCTTTTGGTACAAAGTTCTCTTAATTGAAACTAGCACAAAAGAACTTGTAAATAGATTTGGCAACTATAATGGGAGCAATATTTTAAATGGCACTAAATTTTTTTACCAAATTCCCATCGACTTGGGACAAAGATGATGAAAATCATCCCTTTGCAACAACTATTGCTATGCAGGAAGAAGGTCTATAACCAACTAAAGATGAAGAGACAGTTGATGACATGATATAAACACTCTACAAACCTTAGAGAGACAAGCTCGGGTAGGTTTAAACCAAACCTTAATAGATGTGAGCAACCATTTAAAGTCCAGAGTAAAAAAAAAATGCTATGATTATTGATTTCAATGACATCATGTTTGAAATTATTCATAAAATCTCTAAATAAATGGCTCTAGAGTTTGGAAATTAGATCAATGAAAACTTTTTAAAAAGATTGGTCAAGCAAGACCTTTCAATATAAATCCACTTAAAAGAACCTACGAAATTCTTGTAGGGATACGGGTGGCTTCGGTGGGGCCTAAATATTATTTTTAACCTATACAAAAACCCATGGTGATAGAGGAGACTAGTAATACTAAAGACCCTCTTATAGACCTCCATGATTCCATAGAAACTAGGAATTATAGGCTTGTAATTCAGAAAGTAAGGAGAGAAAATCATACAAAAGGATAGAGAGTGCTTGTAAATGATTAAGGGTTAGATTGTCATCCCCTTGTGCAACCTTTAAAAGCTGACCTTGAATACATCCTAGGAGTTGTAAAATAGGATTTTGGTCTAAGAATTCAATAAAACCATTGACCAAATTAAATCTTCCTTATCCTAGTTATATTGATAGAGAATATCCTTACCTTCCTAATATCCTTACCCTCCTACTTTTAAGTTTCCCGATTTCACCTTGTTTGGTTGGCAAGGATCATTCATAACATAGACACATTGTAAGATTTATTTGCCAATGGGGAAGGCCGAGTTAGAACCTATTTCATTTTTGCTAACATATATAGAAATGCATCAAAAGCCTTACGGTATTATAGAATCCGAATTTTCTAACACTTTGGGAAAGTAAATCCATGAAAATAGCATTTAAAAGAAGTAACATGAATTCAAATCATATGTTGCCCGACTAAAATATATTTTTTGTACTATCATCAAAATCGGAAGATGAATAATAAATAATAATAATAATAATAATAGAAAACTATATAAATTATGTAAAATATGTAAATAAAGTAATGCAATGTGACAACATGAATATGTAAAAGAAACGCAATTGCAACACAAATATGCAATAAAAATGTAATATAAGCAATGTAAATGAAAAATTAAAACATATGGGTAGTAGAGCCGACCACAATTTATGCAATATAATTAGGAAAAATAAAATAGACGAGTAGAGCCGACCATTAATTATTGTAAAAATGAAATTGTAAATAAAACTTTTATTCAAAGAAAATACTTATAAGAGAGAGTTGTACAAAATCTCAATGATTGAGAGATACAAATTCTAAGGCTTTATAGGCGTGGTTGCTCAAGACATAAGCTTCCTAATTATCTAAGGGAGAGATGGAGAGCTTTTGTGAAATGGAGAGCTTCCTTGTATTGAACTTCCAAAAGCTTGCCCATGAAAGTGATGGAGTGACCCATTTATAGGCCTTTGGAGTGGCAAAGTTGTAAAATGAGAATATTCTTCTTCAAAGTTGTGATGATTACTTCCAAAAGCTTACTTGTATTGAACTTCCAAATTTTTGAAATGATCACGAGCACTCGAAACTTTCTAATAACTCACATATACGAGTCAAGGGCAAGGAAGGATCTTGTGAATCAAATTTGTTGCTCTTCTTCCCACTTATAATCTCCAATAGCATGACCCCAAAACTAAAAAACATCCGACTTTAAGGAAAAGTTTCCAAATGCCGCGTACTCGGGGGACATGTACCCACCGCATAACAAAAATAAGATATTAAGACAAGTCTCGAAGTTTCGGGTCTTGTATTCATAAAAAGTTAACATAGAAAGGATTAAATTAAAATTGTTTTAGAAAATAGGGACTCGTTATGTTTAGTCATGATTTAGGAGAGTTTTTTTATGTTATTTTAAACTAAATTTTCAGTATGCTTGTAAATAAGCATGTCTCCCGATTTCTTTTCAAGTTTTATAATTTTATGAGGTCATTTGGATATCTATTTAAATTTATTTAGTTTGTTAAATCAATAATTATGAGAACTAGGGGTAATTTGATTTAATTGGGAAAATTTTTGATATAATAAAAATTTGAAATTTTGGTATGGTGTAAATAAACATGTTTCCTAATTATTTAGAATTTTTTTAGAATGTACTGAATGTTCATTTAAGATTTTCTTTTTTAATAATACATGCATAATCAATTTTTTTTTTACTAAATTTAATTAAGATTTCTTGTCATTTATTTAGAGCTCATATTCACATATTAAAAATTTCGGTAATCTTAAGTTTAATTAATGCTAATACCTTAGAATATTATATAACCCTAAATCTTAATGATAATAAAATTTAATTAAATTCACTATTAAAACTAAAGAAACTTAGATGATTTAAATTCTATTATTAAAACTAAATAAACTTAAATGATTTAAATTCCATTATTTTGTTTCGACATGGCAATCATGTCGAACTTTAATCGAGTCCGATATTAAATTGATATGATTCCTAATTTTAGGATCGGATGTCAATTTAATAGGATTCTACTATAAAACTTAACCTTTTGATATGTTTAAAATTGTTAATTCATTCATCACATGACAATTGTTACAAGGCTATAATAGGATCCGATGTTAAATTAATGTGACTCTAGATATTGGGGTTCGATGATAATTTAAATTGATTCCACAATTAATCATAACTAATTTAGTATATCATAAAATGACTTCTTGTATCAACTTAACGAAATTACTTAAAATAACAATAGACTCGAAAATAGACTTGTAAATATTTAGGCAAAATAATACCGTAGGAAATGATTCGGGAACAAAACAAGTTAGGTAAACTTTCTTAAGAAATGATGTTTTTGTGTGATTTGATCAATAAATATAATCAATTATTTACTCATGATCTCTGCAAGACTAGTTATTTAGGGTTCAAGTGCAAAGTAATTGATATGGTTATGCCTTATGTACATTGAAAAAAAAAAAAATAGAAACTAGTTTACCTATAGAACCAATAGCTCAAGAACGAAAAAAATGGAAACTTGTTTACCGATAAAAAAAAAAAACAATAATAATAAAAAAATCTTTTTTAAAAAATAATATTACATTTGAATGAAGTTAAAAATATGTCATTAAACACTTCAAATGTCTTTTGATTGTAATAATAATGCCTTTAACCATGGACAAAACAAAATTATAAATATTGGTATCACTTTCCTATGGAAAAATCTATGTAATATTACGTAAATATAAATAACTTAAACTATTAAAATAATAATAGTTTATTTGCATCTATAACACTAATAAGGGTCGACATACATAAAAGAATACACTGATATAAAAGTATAAAGAACAATTGTTTAATTTACATTAACTATAAAATTATTTACAAACACAAAAGTAAGTTACTTTTCAAAATGTAATTATGCTTCATCAAATATAAAATAGCAATTTACAATCAGTATTGTATAATTAACTCAAATCGAGCTAGTAACTGAAAATTTAAAAATAACTAAATTACAAAAGTATTACTAGCTTTACCGCCATTAAATTGGATCTATAGTAATATATTTATAAAATATTGTGTACATAAGTTTTACAAGAAAAAATAAAAATAAGTTCTTTGGTATAATTTACCACTAATTTTGATGTTTGAATATTAATTAAAAATAATAATTTCTATTAATTTATTTTTTATTTCATATTATCTTATTTAAAAAAATAATTTATATAAGTGTAATTGCGTATTGAAATATTATACAAAGTTTCCCTTAATATATATGTACATAGAATATAATAAATGATTATTAAAAAAATTGTAAGCACCTATTAATTTTATAAAATGTTCCTTAATTTATATTTTTAGAATCAGAAATTCGGAATGATTTTATAAAAGCAAATTTAGAAAAGCCAAAATGGATCATTTATAGGAATGGGCCAAGCCCAAGACGAGTAGAGCATGTTTGTGCGTTTCAGGGGAACCCAAAAGACAGTTTCAGTCAGTTAGTAGTTACCGTTGAATTACTTGAGAGCAAAGTTTCATTCTTTTCCTGTTTGATTTCCGAATTGAAGAATTCTGACTGATTTCTACAATCTGGACTCCACACTGATTAACTTCTCTCTCTCTCTCTCTCTCTCTCTCTATATATATATATATATATATATATATATTAGCATTTGAGACGAAATTAAAGATTAGTTCTTATCTGTTTTGTTGTTTTTTGACCTGTTATTGCTTGCCCCAATGGAGAAAAAACAACAATTTTGTGTTTCTGGTTCTTGTTTGCCTTCGAAGAAAACCAAGAATCCTGAGAAAAGAAAAGAATGTGGTGAAGTTTTTACTGGGCTTCCACTTTTTACTGACGACAATTTTCTTTGGTTCAAGAAATCAAAAACATGCAGTTCCATTGTTGCTTCAACAACTCCAGTTGGGGTTAAAAAAGAACTAAAGCTTTTTCATGAAAACTGGGTGTCCATGCCTGAATCAAGAAACAAAGAATCTGCAGAAGAGCTGGAGAGAAGGGTGGCTTTTAACCTTAGGAGGATGATATCGTCTTATAGTTGGGTGGATTTGCAAGAGGAGAGGTCTCGTGGGGTTTCTACTCAACTAAGCTTGTATCATCATGACCCATTCAAGATTAAGAAGAAGATGACACGTAGTGATTTGGGTTTTTCATGCAGGCTACTTGTGTCTTCAGATCTAGTTGAGACACATATCCTGCCTTTCTTGAATAAGGATCAGATTAAACAGGTTGTTGGAGTGGGGAATCAAGAAAATCAAGAAACCAAATCTGGCTTGAAGGTCTGGGTTTGGGATATGAATACGGAGACCATACATCAGTTGGTCTTCAAAAGATGGGGCAGTTCTAAAACTTATATTTTCAACGATGGCTGGACAAAGTACTTCGTTAAAAGGAGGAATTTAATTGAAGGTGATCAAATTGGACTCTTTTGGGACATTGATCACTCAAGATTTCACTTCAGTGTTCTGACTAGGGCTGCTGCTGTTAGTGCCTAAGATTAAAAATTAGTGTAGCTTTTAGGTTATGACTGATTGCTGTTTTGATTGCCAATGTCAGTTGCTTGTTTTATTGTGACTATGCATCTTCAGGTGTTCTAATTAGTTCATGTTTTGTAGACATCAAAATCAATCAATAATCAATCTAGTTTGGTCTAATTGATTTCCTTTGTCTGATTTGATTTCAATCAACAATTAATTGTTGTTTATTCTGTACCATATTCTTATAGTATAGCTGTAAAGGCTCGTCAGGCCATGATAGACATAACCAATATAAAGTGAAAATTCTATGCTTAGCCTTTAAAATTTTAACGGGTTTCAAAGTTTGTAATTGTCATCTCATTTACGGAACAATGCCGTACTTCTAGAGTTGAAGGATTCAAATTAATAGAATTTCTCCTGAAAACGAATGCAGGTTTTTTTGGCTGAGGAAGGGCCTACTCACCATTCAACATAAGAACAACTTCTGGCATAGTAGGTCAATCGGTTGCCTCTTGTTGCACACACAGTAGTCCAATTTGAATGCATCTGAACACTTCAGGAGGACTATAAGACTCCGTCAGCGGCGAGTCCACTATTTCCAAGGCTCTGTCTTCTCTCCATAGATCCCACACCTATTGCATTTGCAGCAGAACAGAATGTTTAAAAGTGCTTTTGTCTCGGATAAAATGTTAAAGAGCACTTCTGTCATTTCTGTTACTTACATGTCCAATCAGATTCAGGGAAGAATCATTCTGATAAGAAGTGTTGCTCTTCTTGCAACTTATGGTCTCCAGTAATATGACTCCGTAGCTGAAGACATCTGATTTTAATGAAAATTTCCCAAACACCGCATACTCTGGCGACATGTATCCACTGCATAAGAACGACATTAGGAGGTCAGGAATTTGCATACAGTAATGCATCTTATCTGGGTGTCTGAACTTGTAGCACTTACTATGTTCCAACCACTCTGTTAGTCTTGTCTTGAACATGGTCCCCTTTGAATATTCTAGCAAGGCCAAAATCAGAAATTTTTGGGTTCATATCAGCATCTAATAGAACATTGCTAGTTTTCAAATCCCTATGGATGATTCTTCATCTTGAGTCATGGTGTAGATACAGAATTCCACGAGCTATCCCCACGATAACTTCAAAGCGTTTTCTCCAGCCCAAGACCCCTCTTTTAGTTTGATCTAGCAAAAAATTTGGAACATCTTTCTAACATTATCATCCATAGTGTTTTATATTTTCGACACAATGATAGTAGATAAGCAGGATAAAGCAGGGCAGGAGGCTATAGTTAAGTCTTACCAAAAAGGAAGGAGTCCAAGCTTTTGTTAGGCAAGTATTCATAAATCAACATCCGTTCTTCTCCCTCAACGCAACATCCAAGAAGTTTCACAAGATTCCTGTGTTGAAGCCTTGCAATCAACCGGACTTCATTCTTGAATTCTTGTATTCCTTGTCCTGAGCTTTTTGATAATCTTTTCACATCAATATCCTGCCCGTCAGCCAGCTGACCCTGAGGTGGTTATCTAAGCTTAATCCACAGTAATAATTATGGAATAACATGTTCAACTTATTCTTATTTAATTAAAAAGCCGCAATTAATGAACGTCAAAAGATATAATTGCACGCAACCAGAAAGTTGATATACTTTGAGATGCTTATAATATTTCTATTAGGATATTACCTTATAAACTGAGCCGAAACCACCTTGCCCAAGTTTGTTAACTGGGCTGAAATTTCTAGTCGCAGCAAATATGGTGCCTCTATCAAAAAATTTCAAGCCTGCAGACTTCCGACCATCTTCGAGCTCATTTTCCATCAAAGCAACAATTAACCTTTCTGTACAATACTTGAAAGTCATATATGTTTTGTGCAAGTGTTGCTCAAAGACTTGGCACTTCACATTATACAGTAGTAACCAGACAGAAAATTTGTATGGAGTTCAACACTGGACTTTTGATTACAGGCATTCCAAAAATTCAAACAGTTAGGGTTTTATTCCAAACCTCTCGTTTTTATCTTCTTCCTTCGCCACAAATACGCAAACATGAGAATGAGAAAGATCGTGAGAGTAACAGAAAATACTGGAATGCTCCACTTCCCTCTCTTTTCGACAAAACCTGTTGTCTTCCTTGCATTCTCAGCTGCACGAGGGACGAAAAGTTACATTCCTAACCGAAAATGTATGCAATAAACTAATCCTAATAAAAACAAGTTTTTAATAATTAGAAATATGAAAGTAGAGAACTCACTAGACTGAGAATTTTCCCTCTATGCCTTGCAGCCTTAAAGTTTCTGTCGGTCTAGAAATTTTCTATAATTTGATGTTTAACGTTAGTACTAGATGGGATTGATGGGTAAACTAGATTGGATCGAAGTTGCAGAAATCAAATGAGTTACTGAATCGGCAAGAGAATTTTGGAATCAAATTAGAGTGTAGGTAAGTTACAGAAAATATAGTTTTAAATAACGGCCGTTACATTATATAATGATCATTATGTAACGGTTTTAGAGCATACCATTATTGTTATTTTAATATTATAGTAAATCGTGATCCACGATGATGACCATAATCGTTTTTTCAACCGTTCGTGATTTAAAACTATAACAGAAATGCTTCGTTGTTTTAGACCTACCATTAGCCTGGGGCTTGGACTGGTGAAATTTTTACTGTGGTAAGCCAAAACCCGTGAGAGTTTCCCTGCCTTTGTTGCTACATGGTCAATTTAAGATTGATGGCTATGCAATTAGGCAAGAGGAAGCTTACCTAGCTCAATTGCATCCACTCGCACATACATCTCACGCCCCTCTGTATACTCTGTCGTGTCCATTAATTCACCATACCAAGTCAAGCAGCCAACTCCTTCCCTCTCAATATCTAAGCTGGAGAATGCCATACATGAACAATTCCTCAAGCATAGTTGCTCACAGTCAGTGCTACTCATGCTCGTGTTCATCAAAGCTGCTATTGAAGTGTCAGGAACCTTCACAGATCCTACCTTAACAAACCCTTCTCCATTTCTGCACATCGATGTTTGATGACTTTTCCTCACACACCCACCAGAACCGTCTCTGAGAGCCCAAGCCTTCAAGGACTTGGGCTCATAACCTGGCAACTGGCAAGCATGTGCACTCGAAACTTTCGACATTGTAGGCATTGCATATGCTATATGCACCGCAATGTCCATAGTTATACATAGGTGTCGACCTGGTTTGCTTCCATTGAAGTGAACTGTTATCCCAATAAGTCGCTGAATCATTCCAGATTAGAAAACCACAACTCTTGTGACGATAAATTCATCATCATTAAGAAAAGTAAAGTATGTCCCATATTGGTTGTTGGTGAAAGTATAGTTATGTATATTCCGCACCCAAAACCAGGTTTCCTGAATCCAGGAGCTGAGCTTCACAAACACTCGTCGCTGTTAGTGAAACGTTTGTGGACCACAGAGGAAAGTCCTTGCCGCGGTTACTATAGAGAACAAGATTTCCATCAGATTTCACTGCAAGGATTCCTGAGGAACCATCAATGGGACTATCCCTATTCGCAACCCACACAACAGTTTGTCCTGGTAATTTATGGTACCAGATGCCAAGGTATCCATACCTAGAGTGACCAGGGCTAAAAAATCCTGCTGCGAAAGATCTTTTGATAGCAGAGAAACACCGTCTCTGATTGATTGATTGATGGTTGTGGTGTCAATGGAAACAGAAAACGGGAAGATGACTACAATAAAAAAGATGAGAAGTATTTTCCTGGCATCCATGGCTGATTTAGCTGCAAGGTACATGCTTGAAAAAAAAAAAAAAAAGAGACTAATTTATTGTTTCTCGAAGTAAGAGAGACTAATTTATAATTTACTCATAAAAAGAGTTTTATTTGATTTTTTACGCACATTACCAAAATGCATCAAATATTGTGTAAACTAATATTTTTTTTTATAAAATTAAATAAAAAAAATATGTGAATTCACTTAGTTATGTTAATTTATTTATTTAGTTTTTTTTTTTTAATCAAAAGTTCCAGGGTTTTTGAGCTATACAATAAAGGTAGTTCTTCTTTAATTTTTTTTTTTTAAAGGAGTCAAGTACATTTGTTAGGTAATTCTATGATTTTTTTTTTGAAAAAAAATGTGCATTTTAGGACTTCTAAATATGAAAAAGGAAGATTCTTTTTGAAAAACAAAGAGAGTGATAGTTTTCAATTTCACCAATAATCGGAAGTTCTAATGGTTGAATGGTTTAAAGGGAGATTGAAATTTCTAAGCAAATCGAACTACTATTCCTTGGTGTATGCCTCTTTTATTATTGTTATTTTATTGTTTTTGAATAAAACATAATAATTTCATCGACTGTATTTATTTATTTCTCCTTTGTCAAAACGGGGAGCTTGACCATTCTTATTTATTTCTCCTGAGAATTGACTTTGTCAAAACCAGAAACTTGACCATTCTTAGCATCTCTTGAGTCCTGACTCCTCCACCTCATGATATAGCCCCTTTTTTATTTGATCTTTAGGAATGAAATAATCAATACCTTTTACCAATTTTTATTATTAGTATAATGGTTAACGAACTGGGTTTTATATCAATTTTTTTTTTTTATTAATGTGTACTATTCAGATTTTAAGGTCATATTTATTAAAAAAATTAATTTTTTTCGTAATATAAACCGTATTTACGTAAAGAAAATTATAATTTCCATCCCTAAAATATATACATGCACTTTTCAACTAAGAAAACTTTTAAACATGTTTCCAGCTAGGTTCAAATTATTGACTTCTTAGCAGTCACCGAATCCTGCCATTGGAAACAATACTCTTTCCTCAACCACATGTACCAAATCATCTGTTCCTACGGCCACATAGATTTTTTCTCAAAGGAACAAAGTGATTAGGTGTTTCAAAAATCAAACAAAATCATTTAATCCACCCACCAAATCCCTGCGATATAAAATCCCTATTGTGAGCAACTGAAAGAACCAAACTTTGGCAAGATCAGGGTTTGTTGGGCCAATGAATTATTTGGGCCTTAATAAGCTTAGTCGTCATAAATGGCTATCTTGATCACAATCCAATCTCCCTCTTTAGTGAATTCTTTATTTACTATTTTATTATGAGAAAGGTTTTTTTTTTTTTTTTTTTTTTCCCTTCCCAAGACAAAGCTCATGAAGTGGAAAGTTTATGAGAATTTACAGCTTTTAACCTTAGTAGTCACGTGGTGTGATCATCCCATGTTTAAACACCCCCCAAAAAACAAAAACGTGGGTTTGGAACAGCCTAAACGCAGAAGGCTTGTCCCAAAATAATGAAAAATAAATAAAATTGAAAAAAAAAATCAAAATATGAAAAACCTTATGCCCGCCCTTTTTATTGAATTCAATTTAAGTTATTGAATTTAAAGATTTTTATTTATTTGTTTTTTATAATATATATTTTTTAGGTTATTATAAAAGAACCTTATGCCCGCCGTTTTTATTTTGTTGTACATTAAAAACTAATGCTTATATAATGCTGTTTTGTAGTTGCTTTAGAATTTTAGCTTTCTTTAGACATTTTTCATGCATACTAAAAACTAATATTTGTTTAATGTTAAATCTAACTGACAATTTAATAATAATAATAATAATAATAATAATGTCTACGTACCCATCAAATTACAAGATCTTAAATGTTTTTTTTTTTTTTTTTGGAGATTCTTCGATAATTATAATCTTCATATCCTATCACTACAATGTCCAAAACATTATTTTTCATGCATATTATATTTTATATATGATTTCAAATCTAAATATAAATTTAGAAATGAATTGTCATGGAGATATCCACCTTGAGTAGGAGTATGAGTTTGTCGAATGCTGAATTTGGGTGAGACTTTGTAAACCAAATTGATGAAACTAAATTTTGACGGTTGGAATTTAGAAATCCAGTTTGGATATTTTAGAGATGTTGGGTATTAATCTTTCAGTGAATGTCTAATTGTTTGTGCAGTTTATGCTCTACCAGCAAGCGTGTGACTTTGGGCCTCATGCAGACTCCCAAGTTCAGCATTCGGATTCTTGTCTGCCAGAGGGAAAAATAAAGAAGAGGAAGAAGAGTGTTCCGAGTTATGGAGCACCTTGGAAGGAGCCTTCATTTGAAACATGATCGTGGCTGCCTTCATTTGAAACATGTAAACATTAGCAGTTCAGAACATGCAGTTTCTTGATGATTAAATAAAACCAGAATGGAAAGGCATTAGTTCAGCAACAGTAACTCTCAACTTCCTCGAGTCCTGAGAGCACTGTGCAACAACTTCATTTTCCACATTTCTGTTAAAAAAACTCCTCTGATAGTCTAAGTTTTCCTTTTAACTAACACCGGCAGGGTTAGTTTTTTATTTATAGCTTTTCCCCTTTTTAGTGCAATGCACAACAAGTTCTGGGATCAGTTAACACTTGCATGAGCAAAAGCCTGTTGGTAGCATTTATTCTCAGCATGTCATAAGTTTGGAGTTTTATTGTGCTTTTTACTGATTGTATAAGCATGGAAGACATAGTAGAAAAATAATATGAAGATCAAAAACATTTCAGATGCTTTATGAAATAGACATACAATGGCAGCAGCCACATCTTCCTATCTTCCATGTAATGTTGTAATCGTGACACAATTCAGCATAGTGTAAGAATTTCTGAGTGTCTCATTCGATGATGAATCTGTCTCAGTTAAATACCTTTCCGTGTAAAAGCCAGGTTGTTTAGGTTGTGGCAGCTTTGGATTGTCGCTGTCCAACATTAACACAATCGAAGGCATAGGAGGCCTGTTTTCTGGCCGGTGCTGTACACATAAAAGTCCCACATGGATACATTTCAACAATTCTGATGCTTCTGCTGGTTTCTCCACTAAAGGATCCATTAGCTCTAGTGGCCTCCCTTCATTCCACAATCTCCATGCCTGAAATTGAGTTTTTAGCTCAACGAAGTTGGAAAAAGGCTAAAGAAAGGAACTTTTCAGCTTTTAACTCACATGTCCTAAAAGATTGAGGTCATGCTCAGGATGATAAAATCCTCTGTTCTTCTTCCCACTCACTATCTCTAATATCAGTACGCCATAGCTAAAGACATCAGATTTCACTGAGAACTGCCCATCTATTGCATATTCTGGAGACATGTAGCCACTGCATGGAAAACATAGAAGGATATTTTTATTTGGGAAATTAGTATGCATAGTTTCAGCAGAAGAGCAATTCTTATCGTACTTACTAAGTTCCAACAACCCTTTTGGTACTTTCTGCATTTTTGTCGCATCCAAATGTTCTCGCCAAACCAAAGTCTGATATTTTGGGATTCATTTCATCATCTAGGAGAATGTTGTTGGCTTTAAGGTCCCTGTGAATGATTCTTAAACTAGAATCTCGATGAAGATAAAGGAGGCCCCTAGCAATCCCTACTATAATGTTGAATCTTTTCTGCCAATCAAGTGAAGTGCCTCTTGTTTGATCTGGTCCAATTAGTGCCAAGTTAGAAAAATGTAAGACGTTTTTGAAATAATTCAAAGCTTCAAAGTTTGAGAGTCACTAACTGTAAAGATACAAATCCAAGCTTCTCTTGGACATGTATTCGTATAATAATATCCTCTCTTCTCCGTGAATACAGCATCCCAAGAGCCGAACAAGATTCCTGTGCTGAAGCTTTGAGATAAAGATGACTCTTCATTCTTGAACTCTTTGAGCCCTTGTCCTGAATCTTTAGAGAGCCTCTTCACTGCTATTACTTGTCCTGTTGGAAGCTCTCCCTGTAGTACATCATGGTTGATATTAACTAACAGATAAATGAGATCGATGCGCAGTCTATCACAAAAGAAAGGTAACACTAAAAAGCAGTTGAATTTTTCCTTTTAAACTGGAATTTCGTTGATGTACAGGAAAATCACCTTGTAAACAACACCAAAACCTCCTTCTCCAATCTTGTTTTGGAAGGCAAAGCTGTCAGTGGCAGATACAATAGTATCCAACTCATATAATGGTAGCTGATCCATGTCTTTCTTGTCAGCATAAGGATTGTCATCTTGAATACCTTGACTTAATGCTTCATCTGCCACATCAGGAAAGAACGTATCAAATCCACAGGGGTCTACATCAGAGAATGACGAACAAAATTTCATGTTTGAATGCTTGCTACAACACTAATGTGGGATTAAAATTAATCTTAGATATGTGGCAGAAATTCTTGTTTTAAGCTATTTCTACACTTCCAATATTCTTCACTTTCCCCATGCTAATAAAGTCTTGACAGAACGATATTCCCTAACTCCTTTTGTGTTCTAATAGTTTAGTTACAGTGAAGTTCTAAGAACATCATCATATTCTTGATGCTTGAATAAGCTGTTAGGTAAACCTCTCAATTAATAATCTTTTAAGCTTGAAAGCTTGAAACTTGCACAGACCCACCTATTATCTTGTACTTAAATTTTTTAATTAGAAGAAAAAGTATGGGATGATGAGATTCGAATTCGTGACTATTTAGTTATCAAAACTCTGATACCATGTCAAAAAACTATCGTAAATATTAAACTATTGAATAAGGTTTGAAGATGTAATTTATATTATTCTCTGATAATATCATGTTGGTATATGATAAAAAGGAGAAAAAGAAGCATATAAGAAATGTCATGACTTGTCAAAAGAGCTCATTTTGGTAATAAAATATGCAAACGTATTCAGTAGGATACTATGCGAACTAGGTTCGAAAGAGGTCATGAAAATGACATGAACCATATTCTTTAATTGCCTTCAGATAAATAATAATTTACTTGGCAGGAAGTTTGGTGTCTCTTTGATATTTGATTACCATTTAGTTCTTGTTTAAGAAGAATAAAAGCGAACGAATCAGAAACCAGAATACCTAAGATACACGCTGGATACATAGTTTAATTTACCATGAACACAAGTTCAACAACCTGAAATTTACTTATTGGCAGTTCATGTGGACTGCCATTACCTTGTCAGCTGAATATTTTGGTCAAATTAACCTGTAGAGGGAACTAAGAAGTAAAGATTGAAATGTAAAACCTTACCTTTCCTTCTCTTAGAAGTCCTCTTCCAAATAATATACCAAATGATTGCAATCAACAGAAGAACACTTGATACTGCTGATACTGAGATGATAACTGCTATTTGTTTATCACTGTTCGTTCCTGTCAGCCCGGACCACGAGGAAGAAAAATAGCAATAAGAACAATCTGGTTACATGTGTTTACATAGGAAACTACAAGAACAAAGTTAGAATTATAGCAAACTCTTACCAAGATCAGCAGCAGCCATCCTTATAAATAAGTCTTGCCCACCTTCACTATACTCTCTTAAATCAATCAAGTCTCCAAACCAAAATACGCAGCCACTAACCTGAGTCTTTGCATAAGCCGTGCAAGAACAGTTTCGCAAGCAAGCCTCCTCGCACTCAAAAAGAGTCATTGCTGTCATATTCTTCAAAACTGAGGAAGCATACGGCAACTTCATCCTTGGAAACTTCTTAAACCCCACATCAGCACTACAATTCAATGGCGTTCTCCTGACACAACCACTAGACCAATCCAAAGTCTCCCAGTCTTGTGGTACTTCAGGTATGAAACCTGCTGGGCATTTGCAGAGAATTGAGTTATTTAGATTACACACCCCATTAGGACCACATTGTTCATATCCATCACATTGATCTGTTGGAAATGTAAATATAACAACCCATTCGCCATGCCTTTGATTCCATGTTAAATGTTCAATCAAGCCAGACTGATTCAACACAAACCGTGAGATTGTAGTATTCTCATTGTTTTCAAAAGCATAGTAAACGAAGGTAGAATTGTAGACAAAAGTAGGAGTAAAAACTGGATTCTCTTGCATTGGAGGACCTCCACCAAACCTGACACCATCCCATGGGCCGCTTCGATATAGAATATTCGATCCTTTACGAAGAACTAGCTGTGAAAGTCCATGAACATCTACACTGTAAGTAAAATCTCCACCAGAAGGATCTTGAAGGCTCTTCCATGAAGTCATGTACCAGTTCTGACTAGTTACTAGGTTCCATCCTAGCTTCATGCCAGGTAATATGGTGTCACATGGATGGTCAAAGCTCTGCCACAGATACGTTCCACTTCTGCCATCTCTCACGACAAGGTTTCCACTGTTTAGGAGCTGCAAGACAGGGTTATACGAGTTTGTGGATGAATTTGATGACCAGATAGGGACGGCAGATTGGTTATTGGATATTAGTATGTTTCCTGTGGCAGTGATTGTTAAACCACCAGATGAATATGAAAGTGGGTTGTCTTTGTTGGCCACCCAAACAACTGTTTGTGGGGAAACATTCTTGAACCATATGCCGATGAAGCGGTGACTAGAAGTCCAGGGACTAAAGAAGCCTAATTCAAAGCTTTCACCTATAGAAACAAGAGTTTGATCATTGTCTCTAAGAGTCTCGTTTGGAGTTAAGGTGTCAATTGCGATCGAGGATGTGGAGAAGGATAAAAATGTGTAACAGAGAAAAATCGAAAAGAAGACCATCATGGATGATCTAAGTTACAATCGTTCAACCATGGTGTTCATTTAAACTGGTAACCCAGAAACCTATATGAGAACAATTGACTAGAAGATAACATAAAACATTTCTTTGAAAATGTTAGAAAGAGACACTTTTGTTTTTTCAGATGAAAGAAACACGAGAAAGGGACCTTAACATAAACTAGAGAACATGTCTAGCGGACCAAAAGGTAAGCAGTTTGTTCATAGGGATTGTCAGCCTCAAGATTTGTCCTTACATATTAAACTACACCAGTTCGAATCTTCAATTGCTAATTTTATATGTCCTCTTAACCATTATTCTGCAGATTCTTTTCTACAAACCAAATCTATAAAGTGGCAGCTCTTGACATTCACTACGTATTCAACAAGAAAGACACCAAGTGAAAGTATAAGAACAGTGGATTCAGGAAAATTTGTGAAGAACATCACCGTTTCTTCTTCTACAGACTCTTAGTTAATGTTTTGATGAAGCATATTATAGTAGCAAGCTAGTATCGATAGGTGTAAGAAAATTTCACTCTTTTAACATTCCAGGATTATTATTGAGATAGTATTCCTGCTTTTGACTGCAAGACAATGTTGCTTTCCAGATCATTTTTATTTTTTAGTTTGAACTTTGAATGGTCTTTCTTCTTGTTGCAAATTGTAGGATGTGGTAGTGATGTGCTCTTGCATAATTTCTGTCAAAGAAAACGCGTTTCCTTATTATATATTACAACTTGCCTTAGTTGTATAAGAAGAGAGACTTCTATATTGACCCTCTAGATGGTAAATTGATCTTTGAATAACAAATAGTTGATTGCACAAGTATATAACCAAGATCCTGAGGATCTTTCCAGCTTTTTGTTACTTCCACCAGTCATCCTTCATTTTACAAAGCTAAATAATGTGTCAAAAATATCATATGCAGAAGCAACAAAAAAGATAACATAGGCAATATTTGACTTCCAAAATATGGCAAGGCAATACAAGATGAAAGCCGGTGGACAGAAAGAAGACTCTTAAACAAAGAGATAAAAACTTCACAAGACCGAATTGGTTTCCTGTTTCCCGGACAGTACTTTTATGAAGATAATCACAACTTAACCATCAGCTAATAACCACAGTTTGATTATATCTCCAACAATTCAAGAACTAATGTCAATATATACAGCAGAGAGGATATAATTGCCAAAATGGGATTCATAATAACTCTATTTCCGTTCAAAGTAATTTTCTTTCAACACTTTCTTGTTCAGACTCCGTGGAAGGAAGTCTAACCCAGACTGATCAACAGGTTGTTTTCAATGGGAATATTCAGAGAAAGAATCACTTCTCTATCGACCCAGTAACGTTGTTATAGTCAAGTAATTTCCAGAAGAATAGCTTTCCCTATTCGTTAGAAGACACCTATCTGTATAATATCCCGGTTTTCTAGGCTGAGGCAGCAAAGGATTCTCAGAATCCAACATCAGAACAACAGACGACATGGTTGGCCTGTCTTCAGGGCACCGTTGCACACACAAGAGGCCAATGTGAATACATTTCAACGCTTCAGATGCGCTAATTGAGTTCTCCATAAACGGATCCATTAGCAGCTCAAAGACCCGTTCTTCATTCCATAATATCCATGCCTACACCAAATTTTTAAGTTCCTTTCAGAATTAACTTTCACTTGCATTCAGATGCACATATCAACGTACAAACACTGAAAAACACATAAATATGAAAGTCATATCAATTGCCCTAGAAATACTCACATGTCCAAGAAGGTTGAAGTCATGATCAGGATGATAAAATTCTCTGTTCCTCTTCCCACTCACTATTTCTAGGAGCAATACACCAAAGCTGAAGACGTCAGATTTCACCGAAAATTTCCCATCTATTGCATACTCCGGAGACATATAGCCGCTGCATTTAATCAACAAAGAAATATGTTAACAGCATACTGACAAGTACAGATGGATATATATTGAGAGAGAGAGATAGACACATACTAAGTTCCCATAACCCTGCAGGTTTTTGCTTCAGTTTGATCACCTCCAAACATTCTTGCCAAACCAAAATCTGATATTTTTGGATTCAAATCACTGTCCAGGAGAATATTGCTAGCTTTAAGATCCCTATGGATGATTCTCAACCTTGAATCTCTGTGAAGATAAAGAAGTCCTCGAGCAATGCCCACTATTATGTCAAAGCGTTTCTGCCAATCAAGGGATGCACCTTCTTGTGGATCTGGCCGGTAAGCGTTTAGTTGAATACCCGGATTTGGAACAATGTTGAATAATTAAATCTACTGGAAGAGACTTACCAAAAATATATATGTCCAAACTTCTTTTGGACATGTATTCATAGACCAACATCCGTTCTTCTGCATGAATACAACATCCCAAGAGCCTAACAAGATTTCGGTGCTGAAGCTTTGCAATCAAGATAACCTCATTCTTGAATTCTTTAAGGCCTTGTCCTGAATCTTTGGAGAGTACCTTTACTGCTATTTCTTGACCTGTAGAGAGCTTTCCCTGCAAAAAACAATGCTCGATATCAGCCGATTGTCTAGGATATGCAATTAGGAGTTCATTTGGTTCTTGCTCAAATGGAGAAGGAGCGAGTTGGGACCAGCCGGGTTTTTGTTCAAGTCCTGCCAGAATGAATCAATAAATCCATCCAAATGGGTTTTGATCCTGCCGAAACAGGGTAAGTGGTATAGAATATAACCTTGTACACATGGCCAAAACCACCTTCTCCAACCTTATTAGCAAATGCAAAGTTGTTTGTAGCAGCTGCAATGGTACTCCGATCAAATAATGGTAGCTCTAGTTCATTCTCCTCAATGGTTGTTGGTTTATAATCATGATACACCTGTTCTATAGACTGACCTGTCATGAAACATAGCATGCGAAGGGATTATTGGAAAACTATGCATTATAGCTATAATATTGCAAGGAAGTACTGTGGGATCAGAACTGCCAAAAAGGCTTTTCTTTTATTTCCTCAACAACACTCAATGTTCTGTAACCTTAGTGCTTTGAAAGAGCTTACAAAGAAGTTATTTTTTTTTTTTTTTCCCTCAGCTCTTCAATGTTCTGTAATCATACTACTTTGACAAAGGTTACAGCAAGTTTTATCAGAATTCTAACTTAGAACTTTAAACAATCATAGAAGTTCACTTTCCAAATCAAACTGTATCTCCTATGATCTCTAAGAATTTTGATTTATCTATGACTACTCTTTTTCTTTATATGTTTAAGAAAAAACATAAGAAGTTATTCCACCCATAAAAGTGCAAATCAAGCATCTATTTTGGAAAGCAAAGACCATTCTGGGTGACAAAAGGCAGGTGGGACATCTAAGCAACACAATTAGAGCCTGGTTATCATCACCAAATCAATTTCTTATTATCGTCTTTTGTTGAACTAGTCATTCATCTGATAACAAAAATGCAATTGGGATAAAAACTCTTTTTATTTAACATAGATGTAGTAGGATACTTACCTATCTTTCTGTTGGACTTCCTCTTCCATAAAACGTACAAGACAACTAAAACCAACAGAAGAACCACTGAAGTCGTCGACGCTGAGAAGATGATCAGTGTCAGTTGGTCCATTGCACTGCTTTCTGAAAGCATCCAAAACTGAACGGTAAGTATCATCAATTCGTTTAAAAAAAAAATTAGTGCTTCTAATTGTCTAATATTGTATACCAGGTCAAACCATTTAGTCATTGCAGAGACTTTAAAGGTCTTGCCCTTGTAAGGAGGGAGAACCAGGTATCAAGTGTACCTAACTACCTACAGGTAACATTTCTTTCACATTCAGATAGGAACTTATCTGTGTAGTCCAATAAAAGCTTTCATATCAAGGTTCAAATGAGAGGTTTGCCTTCCCAAACTGGAAAAACATGGTGAAAATACACTGACTACAACTCTCTTGTACTGTATCATAGCAAAGTGACCTGTAATTGCTAAAATTTGAGGATGATAAGTTAATGCCTGTGTTCTGAAAAGAAAAGGAATATATCATCAAAGGTGATCCATGTAAAATCAAAAACAAGGAAAAAAGGTTAATAAAGTTTACCCATGTCTAAGCTGTTAATAAATTTTCTTTGCCCATGTTAAATTACGGAGCATAAACCCACTAGGACCAAAGCATCAATAAAGAAAGAAATATATAGTGTATGCTTAGATTATGAAAAGTCTTCAATGTGTTAAGAACAAGCACGTACCGAGTTCAGAAGCAGCCATCCGAACATATAGTGTATCGCCACCGTCACTGGATTCTCTAGCATCCAACAAGTCCCCAAACCACATCACGCAATCAATAAGTTCAGTTATGGCATAAGCAACACAAGAGCAGTTCCTCCGGCAAGCTTCCGCACAGGTCTCCTGACTAGTTGTATTAGACTCCATTGCATATGAATTATCTGGCAACTTGAAGCTCGGAAACTTCATAAATCCCTCAGTGACACTACAATTCAGTGGTATTCTTGGCACACATCCACTGGACCAATCCATCGAATACCACTCCTCCGTCACTTTTGGCACAAACCCGGTTGGGCAATGGCAAATAGGCACCTTGTTTTCGTTACAAATGCCATTAGGACCACATCTTGAATATGCATCACAGCGATTACTCTGCAAAGAGAACAATAGAAGCCATTCATTGGATTTTTGGTTCCATGTGAAGTAATTAAGCATGCCAGAACTGTCAACTATGAACCGTGACATCATATTAACATTGCTTTCCTCGAAGCTGTAGTATATGTAATTGGAATTATAGATGAATATGGACTTGAATATCTGGAAGCCTTTCATTTGAGGACCCCCACCCAACCTAAGACCACCCCACCTGACACCATCCCACGGGCCGCTTCGATATACTATATCTGATCCTCTGCGAAGGTGTACCTGCGGAAGCCCGCGGATATCCAATTTGTATGTGTAAGGTCCCGTTGATGGATCTTGAAGACTTTTCCACGAAGTCAAGGACCAATTCTGGCCAGTTGTTAGGTCCCATCCTTGTTTCATGCCTGCGATCAAGGTATCGCAGGGATAATCAAAGCTCTGCCAGATATAGTTGTCTGAAATACCATCACTGCCAATATCTTTGACAACAAGATTTCCTGTGCTCAGGATCTGTAAGATTGGATTGTTTGAGCTCGTGGATGGATTGGAAGACCAGACAATGTTCTTCATTGAGCTCTTGGAAATGACTATGCTTCCATTACCTGTTATGGCGACTGCCCCAGATAAATCAGTGAGTGGGGCGTCCCTGTTGGCAACCCAAACAACTGTTTGATCAGGAATATTGTTAAACCATATCCCCAGATATCGATTTGTCGAATTCCAGGGACTAAAGAAGCCAAACGCAAATGTGCCATTTGCCGAAACAAGAGTTTCACTGCTATTGTCTCTGAGAATCTGGTTCACAGCTAAGATGTCAGTGGCAATTGAGTTCTTGAAGTTAAGAGTGGTGAAAGCTAAACAAAAGAAAAGCCGAAGAAAGACCTCCATGGATGCAATAACTAAGACTTCATCATCACTTCTTAAGCCAAGGTTCATGAGAAAATAAGTTGACTGCTATATAACTAGAATTGATTCTTCAAAAACAACAGGAACCCATTATTAGAATTATCTAGGAAGTTGTGGGTTCATGCCATGTGTAGTGGATAACTCGAAAAATACTTGCTCCTCAATCCATTTTCATTCAAGACAGATCAATGAACTTTATATGTTATCGAAGGGGACTGCTAAACTTGGCTACATTGAAAACCTGATTGCAAAATACAAAATTCGACTCAACATGAACGGACAATGTGAGTCCCCATGCATGAGGAGGAAGCAAACCTATTGGACCATCGGGCATTTGGAACCAATTTTATCAGATCATGGAATATTCAGACACTAAGGAGAATGTTTAACTACTACTATATGCTTGCTTTTGTCTAGTCTAGTTTGATCAACTTCTAGTACTGATCATGACCGAAATGAATCAAATGAAGGAAGACAAAAAGAAGAATAATGCTAGAAACAATCAAAAAAAAAAAAAAAGAAAGAGGAAGAACCTTTTTCTGGGCTTCATTCATTTTCAGGGAATTTTTCCATCGCCATCAGGATAAAATTTTTCTTTTTTTTTTTTTTTTAAAAAAGGAGAAATTTGATAATTGAAATAGATTAAGCTTGTTTTTATATGCGATTTTTATTCTTTTTTGAGAAATTTTGAAGGGCCTAAAGAGGCCCAACAACAAAAGAGAGTGAATCAATATTCTTAACTATCCAATGCAAGTAAGATCATGAAAGCTCATTAACTCTAAAAACTCCTAAAGAGGCCCACCTAACTTAACTGAATTTGTTACAGTTATAAAATTGGCGCCAAAACACCTTCCATTTGAAACTATCTTTTCACCAATCTTCTTCTGCCACCTCATCAATCAGCACAAAAACCACTACATGTCCTCCTACTATTGGCTACGCAATACCTCTCCCCCTTTCTCAGTCTATAAGATAATCTTTCACTATGAGCAACTCCTTCCATTCTTGATTTCTTTCCTTCACCTTCCAAGAGAGAAAGAAAGATCAGAGAGAAAACCAAACAAAGAATGAGCGACTTTAATCTTCAAGAATTCCAAATCCCAACCACCACAGCTGCCGCCATCGACAGCAACTCAGAAGATGAATCCATTGATTTCTCCCTTCTCCGGCTTGACTCCTCCATCCACAACCACAACCACAAACACACTCCTTGCACTACTTGTGGCTGCTCCGCCTCTCCCTCCTCCAACAAACGCAGGTCCCCCGATCATAACCCACAAGACCAACTCACAAAGAAACCCAAGAAACTGTTTCTTGAACCCCATGAAACCACCACCACCAACAACAATGTCCCTAATTCTCTCCCTGGCTTCTCCAATATTTGCCAACCCCATTGCAGCCCTGAACCTTTCCTCCGCCGCTGCATTTCTGATGCTTGTTCCCCACCAGCTTTGTCCAGCTTGGTCCCACAATCACCACCGGAAAGTTCTAAGAAGGGGAGTGCGTCTCTGCCTCCAAAGCCACCATTGAGAAGATCAGTGTCAGACTTGTCTCCTAACAAGAGCTATTCAAGGTCTTCAAGTTCCAATGGAAGTTCCGGTTTCAAGGTTAGTGGTAATTCTTGATTAGTTTCTTATGTGATTGAGTTAATCTGCATCTTTTAATTAAGTTTTGATAATGATAAAAAAAAATCTTGAAAATTCTTTTTGGAACTTATCTTTTAGATTTTTGGGATTCTTAGGATATATAGAGGATTTTGTGGTTTTTCTTTATATAAGTTGATTATAATTGTGGGGGTTTTGGAATTGATGGTGAATAACAGTGGCTGAAGAAGATGAGAGATAGCATGAAGGAGATAAATCAATGGTGGGACGAAATTATGCCTAATGATGAAATGCTGGCAGAACCATGTAATTTTGAAGAAGAAGAAGCTGAGAAAGTAAGCACTGAAGATAACAATGCTGGTGCAATTGAAAAGGTATCATTGTTACCCTTAATTTCTTCTTTTGTTCTGCCAAGGAAATGAGATTTTGATTCTTGTCTTTCATTCTGCTTATCTGATATTGAGTTGTCAATTCTTTTCGATTGTTTGATGATTGTGTTAAAGTGGAGAATGTTATGGTGTAATTTATCATCTGTTTGATGCAGAGTGATTCAATGAAAGATTGTGAAGAATCTGTTTGGGTGGAGAAAACTGGGGAATGTCTCATCATTCATTTCAAGTGTCCCTGCAGCAAACGCTATCAAATCCTTCTCTCTGGAGGGAACTGTTACTACAAACTCATGTAGGATGTGCAGCTGATTGGCCCAAAAGGCTGATTACAGGTCTAATCTTTTGGGGTTTCAACCGTTTTCAGGATGATTCTGTAGACAAGACCCTGATTCTGATGCAGTGATAATTCTTCATATGTGACAATTTGGCCTTTTAGATTGATATTGTTGGTAGTGTCCCTTTCCTGTATAGTCTAATTAGCTTTGGATGAATTACTTTTCATCTGATTCTATTGTGACTTTACTGAATTAGTTACGAAATTAGTCTGTTTCATTTTATTGTAATAGGAAATATAGAATCTGTGAAGAGTAACTGAAGATAAGATGTTGGAATTCTTGTCGTGAATTGCAAATAAATGTCTGTTTCCTGGTTCAGCTTAAGACTTTTTTGATTTGTTCCTTTCCAGATGCCTCATTTAAATACATGCTTCTGATTTGTCTGCTGTAATGATTATGAACACTCCTAGATCTATCTTCAACCAGTTTTCAACAGTGTCTGCCTGCAATCTTAAATCTTTAATGTAAATCAGAAAAGGGCTTCAATTTCTGGCATCTGTTGAAACTAATCATCCTGAATTCTGTTTTGGGCCACTTTTAATACTCAAAAACTGTGAATCACAGGACCTGATGAAAGCATACAAAAATTGAAGAGATGCACAAAGATGCTAGATAGGTCTATCTTCTGAATATCTTGTACTGTTGATTTGCATGTCAAGACAGGCAAACTACAGTATTTCATAACTTCATGTTTGTGTTTCAAATCTTATATACACTTGTGACAAAACAATTTTTCCAAGGTAGCTTATAGCTTGTATGAACTATAAATTAAACATGGATATCCCACAATAGTTATTCAAAGGGAGATGCATTAATACACAAAAACTGTAAATCACAACAGCTGGTGAGGTATACCAAAATCTATGGATATAAAAATATGAGAAGACGTCTACGCTTTCTTTTACCTAGCATCTAGCACTGTAACTGTAACTTGATTTACAGTGAATGATTCATCTTGTTTGCTTGAAGATGAGTCGGTTTCAAAAGGATTCCTTCCAAGGCAATAACCAGGAGTTTTAGGCTGGGGCATTGTTGCAGTTTCACTACTCAACATCAACACCACAGAAGCCATTGTTGGTCTATCTTCTGCTCTCTCTTGGACACATAAGAGGCCTACTTGTATGCATCTCAAAACTTCACAAGGGCTATATGAAGCGCCAACTGCTGTATCTAACACTTCCAATCCCTTCCCATCTTTCCATTGCCTCCACACCTGCAATATTTCCATTTCAATGTTTGTCGATCGATAATTTTCTCATTTTCAATGAGAAGTGAAAACCTGTTAAAATGCACTCTTATACTTACATGTCCAAGGAGGTTAAGTTCGCTGTTTGAATGATAAAACCCCCTGTTCTTTTCCCCACATACAATCTCCAAAACTAATACACCGAAACTGAAAACATCGGATTTCACCGAGAATAGTCCATCCATTGCATATTCAGGAGACATATAACCACTGCATTAACCAATATGGCAGATAGGTAAGAAGAGGAAAGTGAGATTTCCAGCCTTCAAATGAATTAAAGAAAAATAGTTTTAGGTACTTACTATGTTCCTACTACTCTCCTGGTGTTTGCATGTGTTTGATCTCCACCAAATATTCTAGCCATGCCAAAGTCTGATATTTTTGGAGTCCATTCACCATCAAGTAGAATGTTGCTTGCTTTGAGATCCCTATGGATAATTCTAAACCTGGAATCCTGATGCAAATACAGAAGCCCTCTAGCAATCCCACAAATGATGTTGAAGCGTCTCTGCCAATTTAGTAAAGAGCTTTTCGCCTTATCTGTAACAATATTTTTACCAAAATAAGTAGCTTGAATTCAAATCCTATCTATGAGATGCACAAAAGAACCAAATGTTAAAAGGGGACTAACTGAATAGAATAGAATCCAGACTTCTGTTTTCCATATACTCATAAATAAGAATCTTCTCATCCATCTCAATGCAGCAACCGAGCAGTCGTACAAGATTTCTGTGTTGAAGCCTTGCAATTAACCTGACCTCATTCTTGAATTCTTCTATTCCCTGACCAGATTTCTTTGACAGCCTCTTGACTGCTACTTCTTGGCCTTCTACTAGCCTACACTGGCATTTTCATACATACTTTCTGTCAGGGTCACATATTTGATTTGTATTAAAGCTCCTGATAAATATTGTTCCAATTTTGTTTTCCTACAGTCTCATAAAGAAGAATTTACCTTGTGAACGCAACCAAAACCACCTTCTCCTAGTTTATTTTCATCAGAGAAGTTGTCGGCTGCTGCTGCTATTGTACCAAAATCAAACAGTGGCAGTTCTAGTTCATCTGTGCTTTTTTCCCCTGAGTAGTCTTTCTTACTAATAACCACCTCATTTAGCAACAAATCTTGGCTTCTCTCTGCAGGACCTGGTTTCAGAAATATGTAAAAGGGATAAATATAGTACAGCAACTCCATTTATATGCAAATTTTGCTTTATTGAGTTCTTTTTTATGTTACCTTTGTGTTGTGTCTTTCCATTACATACACTCATCAATCTCTTCCTCTTCCATATGGAAAAGCCACTTAGTGCTAATATCAAAAATCCAATGCCAACAGCAATGCCTATAATTATAGCGCCTGCTCTCCCTCCATTACCTGACAAGACACAGATTTGTTATTAGTCATGGTCACTAGGCTATGATTTCCATCACAATATTTTAGTCAAAAATTATGTAACTCTTTCACAATTTAGGCAAATTCCACAGTAAGGGTTTTTGTTGCCTTGACTTGAAGATCCTTTGAGGCTTACGATACACACTTACATTTTCAAAATCCATCGCCCTCCAACTTTTGCCACTTCAGTTAAGACCATGTTAGAAATGTGAACACTTGACCTAACATTGACTAATAAGTAGCAATTATAGATCTGGCGCATGACAATGGAAACGAGACTTCTTGTGGGTCACCTACTTGCTTTCTGCTGTGGCTTTCCTCCACAGTGACAAAAAGCTTCATTCTAGCCATGATTTCTGCTAACCATATACTGGTTCACACAATACTATCTCTATCACTGTAAAAATTTGGTACGACTTATGAGGACAAAGGCCATTAAAAGATGACATGATTATATATATATATATATAGGCAATTAGATATCCTCATGCTAGTTTTCGCATTAATTGAAACTAAATTTACTATTTTTTTTATTAAATTAGTGTCAAAACATGTTTAATATTTAATCGACTACCGAACTGCTTCTTAAACCAAATCAGTTCAAACCTGATATTATGGTTGGTTAAATGAGGTGCCATGGTTATTAAGGTTATATATTAAAGAAGTTCTTTAAAACACATCATAGCAAGGGCCAATTTTAGATGGGGTTAGTCTGAAATCTTAAACAATTCACTGGTTTAACCATAAGCATGCAACTTTTGACTTCTAACAGAAGGTTCAAGATTCAGATCCCACTTTCCTCTCCTCTTTGTGGTCACAACAAGGCTTATAGCTGTTTTTCTGGTTCTAAGAGTGTGTAGGGCTTAGAACTTCCTGTTTTAAGACCAATCTGTACCCACCGAAAGTGATTGAAATGTGATCAGTTTTCAGATTACCAAAAAAAAAAAAAAAAAAAAACCATAAGCATGCAATTTTCCTAGTAAATGGCAGATGGTATTGCAATTGAACAGGATGTTTGGACAACCACATGTTCCGAATTATAGAAGCATGTGAAAAGATCAGTGTCAAGCCAGGTAATCCTGAAATGTGGCTGGACATAAACCTAACTCAACTAAATCCAGGACCACAAATTGCCTAAACAATTGAGCTATTAAACTGTTTGCTACAATTCATGCATTGTTGTCATCTCTAAGCATCAACCAAATGGCTGGTTGATAACCATCTCTTTCTTACAAAAATGTTATACAAAAAATCTTCCACGTGTGGAGGCCTGTTCATCTAGTGTGAAAGCTTGTATTCTACGGATGAACAAAGTTTATTCATGTACACATAACCATGAGTACGTAGTATTTTCCTTCCAACTATTTTAACCTATTTTCACAGTAATTATCCTACTACGGGGGTATGCATGAATTTTTGTTCGCTTTAAAAAGTTAATGCAATATGATGAGTTATCCTAAAGATTGAAATTTCCCACATTAAAAAAAAAAAAAAAAAAAAAAAAAAAAAAATTACTATCGATATGCATAGTCAAGGAAGGAGGGGAAAAGGAAAAAATATTTATATATATTTTTCGGGTTCGAAAAAAGAAATATCTCATAAATATATTAATATAAATGTTGATAGTTTACTTAAAACGTGATAAAAGAACGTAATTTTGAAAAATAATCCAAAAATATCCTAACAATTAAACAATTAAAAAATGGAACTAATGCCTTTGATAGGATTTTAGAAAAGATGACAAATCTAACGTATACATTTTTTTTCGTCTGTTTTTCGAATCCCTCCGAAGTTACAAGACTGACTTTATGCAAGTAAATTGAAAAAAAGATAAAATTTGTGGGGTCCAAATGAATAATTGTCCCGCTCAAGGCATTTAATAATGTCCTTAATTCTTGTAAAGCTGGGGACTGAAAAGGACTACCAAGTTTGGCCCAATGTAAAAGCCTACAAAGTCAACAATGTCGGCCCATGAGGGTTGGGATTATTTGGACCCATCCATTTGATCAAAAGGGCCCACTTCACCGTCCTTTAAGAAATTATTTAATTTCACATCTTGCCTTTTTTAGGTGGGGACAGACAGTGATATTACCACACTTATTTAAGCAACTAATCTTTCATAAAGAGGCCAGCTAGAGGCGGTCTCATCAAACTCAACCTCATAATCATCCAATTTAAGCAAGACACAAATTCTAACCATGATCCAGTAACTCATGGTGGCCAGTCACCATAGACACACTTGTTAGCAAAATTTATGGTTTTCGGTTTGGACACGAGAGATTTTTCATTTCGATAATTTTTAAAATAATTTAAAAGTAATTATTGTATATAGACTTAATTTTGAAAAAAAAATCATATTTAAACTTATTTTTTATTCATTTTCTTTTTCTTTGCGTTTATTTCTCTTTTATAGAATAAATATTAGTAATTACTTATAAAATAATATAAAATTTCTCTTTTACATAAGCATCGAGTCGGTTTTTTGTATAGTGAAACTGAATCCTCCAACAATAACGTATTAGCAAAATTAGGGTTCAAAAGTTGGGTTTCTAGCTCTATATTCATCAAAAAGAAAAAGAATTTATATTCCCATCCTTAAAAATGGAAAAACAAGCTATTTGTCACCCCAAATTTTTTGTTTCATAAATTTACTTCCACGAGCTAAGGGTCCCATCAAATTCCTCTAGTGATGTTATGTGACCCATTCCAACACTTAAAAGCCCAGTTGTAGGCTCACTTGGAATTTGAATAAGATCACTTTAGCCTTTTTGTTTTCAGGGAAAAAAAAAGAAGAAGCAACAATACCACTCATGAAACACAAAGTAGGTCGGTGAAAATTCAGTGATGAGACATTTATTTTTCGCACCTAACATAACAAAAATATTTTCAAACAAAACCAAGGATGGAAACAAAATAACAATGGATATCAATTTTGAAAAATTGAAAGAATCTGAAGAAAAATAAAACAAAACAAGAAAAAAAATTTAGAGGAAACAAAAGTGAAAGTTTAGAACATACCTATATCAGAAGCTGCCAATCTAACATAGAGATCTTGTCCACCTTCTAAAAATTGTCTCAAATCAAAGAGCTCACCAGTCCAAATCACACAACCAGACCCTCCATTGCTAATATTTGCGTTAGCATAAGCAGTACAAGAACAATTCCTTGAGCACAACAATTCACAATCCTTGAGACTCATACTCCTGTCCACAAACGAGGTTGTGCTCTCTGGCAATTTCATGTTCTTCATATGCAAAAATTTATCTTTCAAGCAATCCAAAGCTGTTCTCCTCACACACCCACCTGACCCGTCTCTCAAATTCCATGCGTCGATATTCTTAGGATGAAAACCCCTCATACACTTGCAAACTGGTGAAGCATTCGAGTCACAAATACCATACGGACCACACTCTCTATAATTGTCGCATTGATCTTTTGGTGCATACCAAAATGGATTCCATTGTTTGGTCTCTGGAATCCATGCAAATCTTTGAAGCAGCCCAGATGAGGTAACGCTCAATTTTGAATATAAGTTCTTGGTTGCGATATGAAATGAATAATAAACCTCATCTTGATTAGTGACGAAATTGAAACTCATGTAATCGACAGGCTTCATCTCTGGTACACCACTAAATCTTTGTCCATTCCATGGCCCGCTTCTATACTCAATTTCTCGATCTTTCCACAAAAATATTTCAGGGAATCCATGGTAGTTTAGCTTGAAAGAAAAATCACCTGTGCCAGGGTCGTCACTGCTTTTCCAAGAGCTTAAGTACCTCTCTCGACCTGTGTTTAGATCCCAACCTAACTTCATGTCAGGTAATAAAGTATCAGTTGGATAGTCGAAGCTTTGCCACAAAAACTGACCACTTTCACTTTCTTGATCTATTAGTACTAGGTTTCCTGAATCTAGCAACTGCATAACTGGGTTTCTTGCATTGGTTCGATTGGATGACCATATGAGATTCTCTGCTTGATCAACAAGAGCAATGCTTTGATTTAAGATCTTGAAGGTTCCAGAGGAGTTTGAAAGTGGGCTGTCTCTGTTAGCAACCCAAACATAAGTTCTTGGTATGTTCTTGTACCATATCCCCACATACCAGTTTTTTGAATTGCCTGGACTGAAGAATCCAAGCTCAAAACCCTGGCTTGTGGAGACGAGAGTTTGGCCGTTTGTGAGAGGTTGTGATGCTGTTAAGGTGTCTAAAGATGAAGCAAACGTTGAGGAGCAGAAAGAAAGGGAAGTGATGAAGAACAACAAAGTGGTGGTGTAACAATGATGCCTTGTGGTTATAGGTTTCATGCTTCACTTTGCTGTTTTCTGCGCTATCTCTGTCTCTGTCTCTTGTGTGTGTTTTACAGGCATTTGGATTTGGGGTGTTTTGGTTTGTTCACCTTGAAGACATCTGGTAATGGTTGATATGAAGAGAAAAAAGCAGAGGCTGTTTTGGTCTTGAAAGCATGTGCTTTTGATTGTTGACACCTTTTGCTTTCTTTAATGTCTAAGTCTTCTTTATTTCCTCTTTTAAAATTCTACATCAATATTTGAATTATTATTATTATTATTATTTTACGGCTAGGGGCACGAGTAAATTATAAATTAGTTCCTCTTGTTTTGAGAAACAAATTAATTAGTCCTTATCATTTTAAAAAATAATTATTTAATCTCTATATTTTGAAATCTACATATAATTCAGTCTTTTTTACTCATTTTTAATTTCTTTTTCAAGAATAGAAAAAAATAAAATATATGAAAAAAATATGGAAAGATTCATGGGAAAATAAGAGAATTTATAGAATAAAAACAATATTAAATTAAACATGTTCAACCCTAATTAAATAATAGTTTTTGAAATGAGAAGGACTAATTAGATTGTTTCTTAAAACTAAAGGGACTAATTTATAATTTACTCCTAGGGATGCTAGGTGTCTTCACATGTTTTTCACGCAGTTGTCTATCTAAATAAAGTATATTTTTGACTCATGATTTTCATACAATCGCAAATTAAGATTATTCCATTTTTATGATTTAATTAAACACAATTATTTATATTGGAATTCTAATTACTGAAAATAGAGTTAAGAAATTTATGCGAAAATTTATTTCTTATAATGTTTTGAGTTCTGATAACTAAAGATAGAATTAAAAGATTTGAGCAGATTTTATTTTGTATAATATGATTTATAGTTTGAATTCTAATAATTAAAAATGGAACTAAAAGATTTGCGAGATAATATATTTTTTATAACCTGATTTACGGTTTGAATTCTGATAATTAAAAAGAATACTCATGGAACCAATGCATTAAGTCATATTAATATTTGAAATGAAAATAAATAAATAAAGAATAAAACCCATGGATGTGGTATGTTTGGGCCTAATTGAGCTCCTTGAAGATTTAAGAAGGGAGACAAACAGCGGAAGGTGACCTAACTTTCAACTTTTGCTGTTTGCAGAATATTGTTGGTGGACAGAGGAACTAATATGAATGGCTTTGGGTTTGTGAGTGTGAAAGGGTCTTAGCTAATATTACAAAGTTTGAACAAATTCTTTTTCTTTTTCTTTTTTCCTAATGCAACCCAAGTAAATTATAAATTAATTCTTCTAATTTTGAAAAATGAATGAATTAATTCTTTTGGTTTCAAAATCCAATCATTTAGTCAAAAAAATATTAAATTAACTATGATCAATATTGGTTTAAAGAATTAAAGAATTAGGTTTTAAGACCAAATAGATCAATTAATTTGTTTCTAAAAAAGAGAGGGACTAATTTACAATTTACTTGATCCTTATTCTTTTTTCTAATGCAATACACCCCCTCCGTATTTAATTATTCTATCTAAATTAGCAACAAATTGTTGCCCCAATGCTAAATGAGTTTGTCTTTAAATGAATTTTTTTAACGATATACAAGATTTGAATTTTGAAATCACATTTGTTGAGAATGATTAAATCTTATTATTTTTATTTTGAGCGAGAATTAGTTATATTTCGATGTAAGATACGAATATTTGAAGAAAACTAAAAAAAAAAAAAAAAATTATACCATCTAAATCTACTCTTATTTCTATTTGGTTAAAGAACTTTTTCTATTTTTTCAAGGTTTAAAATGATATTCACCTAGAAAGGGATAAGAAAGATGGCATTAGATTGCCAATTCAAATGGTTGGACCGCCTTTTAAATTAGAAAGTGGTGGAGGCGTGGAAGTCATGCCAATGGCTAACAGGCTTCTAAAGTGTAAACTGCTATTTGAATGTGACTGTGGCAATTCTTTGGTCCAATTGATGATAATAAATCAGTAATTTATTTTGCCTCAAGTTTTGTATGACTTGGTGATGTCAACTTTGTGGAGCTAGATCTTTGTCTCTCTGTCTTTGTCCCTTGGCAGCATCCCAAAGGGCAAGGAATGACACTGCAAGCAGTAAGAAATCCCACAATTTAGTCCTTAACGTATATATTTGTTCTAATTGAGGTCTGAAAACAAAGTAATTTATCAATTGGGTCCCTACTATTCCACCCATTGAGTCCTTTTGTCCTAAAATATTTTCCTTCTGACAATAAAATAGCACCAAACCAGTACCAATAGCCTTGAAATATTTCGTAAACAAAATAGTTAGTTAGTGTCATAAACATGTATGCCTTAAACTCATTATCAAATAGAACAAACGAATCATTGAAGCCAAAAGTTAACTAAAAGGGAAAAAGCATCACCACCTCAAGTCATGTGCTGCCCTCTCCAAATGACAGGAAAAAACCAGATCACCACCATGACTAAAAAGTTTTAGTCATTCATGAAAGCTGTGTAAACAAAATCCAACTGACTTTTTACTTTTGACGTGCAAAAGTGTTGTGATCTTAAGAGATTTTGTTTTCCTCTGCTTACCAACTACAAGGATTCTTATTTATTTTAATGTTAGAATTGGATTGATTATTTTACTCATCATCTGTCAACAAAGCTAAGTTGATCGCATCTTTCTGCCGAATTACGAAGAACATTATACCTCAATCCAATCAGTTGGTTAAAGATCTGACAAAGACTATTGACTAAGTCTTCTCATTTGAATTAATTTAAAATTTTATTTTGTATTTTTCATGTTAGTAAAAATTTTGGCTGCACTAATTATTTAATCCATGCTAAAAGGTTGCTTAATCATTGGCAGTGACATTTAAGTTGTTTTAATGTATATAATAATTGATTTTGACATACCCACGAATGTTAGATTTAGCAAAAAGACCTCTAGTCACTTAAATAAGTGTTTTTGTTTTCGAGTTTTTATATATATAGAAAATTTTTTAGATAGATGTGTCTGTCTTGTGAGTCCGACCAAACAACAGAAAATTAGTCTAAAATGATTTTGACGTTGGATACAATTAGAAAATACATAATTAGAAGGTAATAGTCAATCTATTTTTTTTAATCAACCATATCAACCTTAAGGTTCCTTTTGGGTTGGTTTTACAAGTTTTGAGAGTTTACCAAACGGAATATTTTTGCTATTCTTGCCCTTACCAGCCATCTAAATTCAACAAATACCAACCATATGAGAATTTTCTGCTTTAGTCTTGTGCCTTTCATTTGGACTATTAATTTGTCGATATACCGATCGTCACTTAGGATTCCTATGCTTCCATATTTGAAATCTGAGTCTTTTATATTTGTCTCTATTTATAAATAATTACTGTATTATAAATCAAAATTCAATTAAAAATGGAAAATTGTGAAAATAGAGCTAAGGTTTTTTCCACGTACTTTTTCATGACCGCAAAAATGTCCTTGGAAAATTATTTAGCTTTTGATAAATTAGAATCTGTAGGACAATATGATGGAGCTTTCATGCAAGAATTATGTAGCTTTCTTGCAATAACTGAAGGCAGTAATTAGGATTGCTGGGACGCATACACGTTGTGTTTTTCCTTTCATTTTTGGATTTGTAAATCACGTGCTGATGTGAACTGAAGAAAGCTCAACCTGTCAACCAATATGATGTATGGCTGATATTTTAGTCAGCAAGAACTAGAAGAAAGAATATTCGACTTTCTCATCTCTCTTTCAGCTAGTTTCATTCCTTATTGTACTCTTGTGATATGTCAACTTCACTTTCTAGTTTCTACGCAATTTCGGATAAGCAACGACTCTTCGGGTTGTTTTTTCGTAGAGACTAAAAGATTTTGAGCATGTAAGACTGGAATCCATGGAATAAGTTGAATACCCTGATCAAAGGTTGTATAGGAAAAGAGTATAACGTTAGGTATTCACAGACAATTTTCAAGATTACAGACAGCATATTTATTCAAGTAGGAATGTAGCTAGGATACAACATCAAAACCTAAGGCTAACAAACCTTTTCATGTATAGAAGTGTAGGCAAGTCGAAAATCAGGCTCTGCGCGTGATGCAGGGGAAGTTTTTGTCCCCCGATCCTCATTTGTGGAACCTGTATAGAGCTCTTCAGACTGAACAATTGTTTTCAATAGGTTTTGTTATGTAGATGTGGGATTCTTTTGGATGTGGAAGCTCTGCTTCACTGCCTATTTTAACATGGAAACTAGAGCTTTTATTGTTGGCCTATATGCAGCCTGGCCTTGAACGTCAAGAAGTCCAATTTGAACATATCTATCTCATAGGAGGAAAATGAGCTAGCCAATGCTTCCTCTGTCAAATCTAAACCCCTGCTTTCAGACAAGAACTTCCATGCCTGAAATGATTGAAGCATATTATTAGAATGAAAGTATAAAACCAACATAAACAATACAACGAACGCAATGATAAACATGTAATTGTATAAGCAATAAGGCATAACTGTTGGTCCTCATCATGGAAGTCATTGTTCCTTTTGAAACTCACAATTTCCAAAGATATCAGATATTTTTCAGAAAAATGCCCCAATGAGAGATTTAAGTTTACCTAAGTCAGAATCTGCAAGACGCAGGTACAGAGTATTCCCAACTAGGTCAAGATCCTGGACATCAATCAAGTCCCCATTCCACATCATTCATCCAATCCCACTGATATGCTATAGGGCATTACATAAACTGTTATTCTAACAAATTTACCTGCAATTATCCAAGGAGACTGACTCCACTTCTGCAAAATCTGGCAGCTTCATGCCCCTTAATTTTCTAACTCCATCTTCTCAACCAATACTAGCATTCCTCTGACACAGGAATAGAGACCTTAACCTTTCACATCCTCTACTAATCTGATACCGTGGCTCAAACCTTTCCATACAATTACTTTTGGGAGATTCTGATGCAATACAGATTCCAAAATTGCCACAATAACTATAAAGCTCAGTCATTAGCAGGCTGTGAATGCATTATTACATGACAATTCTTTTCATTTTCATTCCACTTTTCCTGCTCCGCAAATCCATCCCAAGCTATCTGAAACCTCATCAAATCAGAATTATTATCGGTACGTGGTAAAGCTCTCATATATGGCGCACTTGAGAATATTAGTCCATACTCCATCCCGATGCCTACTTCTAATATCACTTTATAATGCTTAAACAACCAGTCTGTATTTCAATCTCGGGCTAGAACGAAGGTAGGACATAATAAAACCACTTGTAATATCATTCCATAATGCTTCAAAAACCAGGTTTTCTTTCAATTTCAAGGTAAAAAGAATGTTAGACAAGCTTGCTTGGAATACCATCACATAAACCTAATAATGGTCCTTTTGGTTGACTCTTTACTGTCTAGGCCTCCATTGTCACCCTCTTTTTTTCGTGGCTTTTATCTAGATCTCCATTCTCACAGAGTGTATGTTACTGTTTTTTAACACAACCGGATAAGCAATAAATCCAATCTAATCGTACAATACATGGTAAGAAAGTATCATTTCCACGATGAATTAAATTACATTATTAAAATTATCTAACTTAGAATAAGTTGAATTAATCAAAACAATTAAGAGAATAAAAATTAAATTAAAATTATCTAACTTAGAATAAGTTGAATTAATAAGCTAGGGATAGATTCATTTAATTCTAACCTACGCAATTAATTATATTAACTCAACTCACAAACCACCTTAAGTTTTATCTTAATACATGTGATGATTGAATTTCCAAATAAATTAATAAACTATCTCTAATCAGATTAACCTTATTCTTCACCTAACAAATCATCTATATTTCTATGTGACTTAAATTAGATATAAATACATTAGAATCAATGGAATTCTTTAAGGTCAAATAAGCATGTCATCATGCACTTTTCTCTTCCATTATCGCACTAAAACTAATTGTCTTTTGATTAATAGTAAACTAGTGATTTATATTGCTATAATCTAATACATACAATTCCTTCTCAGATTTAACTACACGTCATTAAATCAATATGAAGTGGTCACTATCTTAAAGCATTAAACGTAATAATATAAATTCATCATACATTAAGATTCAAGTTTTAAGTTGAAAAAAATAATTAATCACATAGAATAAGAATTAAAATCATCAATCCTTAACTTAAAAAGTTTATCTCTACATAAAAATATTTACTGAATCTAAAAATAAAATATCAAATCGATCGTTCATCAGAATAATAATTAAATAATACACAATTACTTGTCTATATCTGTCTGGTTTTACGCTCTTTTCTTCTCTCTGTCGTTCCAGTTTGGTTGCTTAATACACAGACCTCTGTTTGATTTCTTTTCGCTCCTCACCGCCGTGCAAGTGCCAAATCTCCTTATTATGCCTCTCACTTTTATTACCATAGACCCCCTTTTATAGTTCACCACGTCACTTACCCTTTAGAATAGGATAAATTACTTTTTAAAGTGTCCAAGTCAAACACATTTATTTTTATTAATCTTTAATCCTCATTTTTAATTTTTTTTCATTTCAGTCTTTATTTTGTCTTATTTCTTTAATCTTCTCTTAATTCTTTGTACCTACAAATTCAAAACACATGAAAATTAATTTATATCAAATGAAATATAAATTACACGCATAATTAATAAATTTGAACTCCAAATTTACATAAAATATACATATAAATTATATTTATCAGTTTATCAGCTTTTTCTTTGATTGCCATTGATTGATTATTGTTCAAGTTTATCATTTTTGATGTATTTATGCTGGATAAAATTGCTGTCCTTAATAATGTTAATTTGTACATCAGTGTAATCAAAATTTTCCAACCTCACTTATTCCAAACAAAATCAAGAATACCTTTAAAGAGGGAAGAGGACAGTTTGGGACGACAACTCTGATGAAGGAACTAATATGTAAATCAGAAGGACTAACCTACAATATCATCAAGACTACAGGGATTGAAATTATAATTTACTTAAAAAGGAGAGTCACGTAAGCCTGTTGAATCGCGTAGTCCTGTAAACTAAAACAAGCGAAATCCGAGAAGAAGATGCTTCACATTCCTTGTATGATTCGGAAAATAAATTTGAGAAGGAGTTTATATTTTCATGTGCTCTACAACACACAAAGAACATAATCCTGGTGAAACATGTATTCCTTTACCACAGCAAAGTAAAAGAAGCAAAATTTTCCTGAATAGCTAGTTTGCCTGGAGCAGAGCTACCTAGCAATCACCATGAAGAGCCAAAGAGGAAGAAAACCTAGAGGCAGGCATGGCGATAATCAAGATCAAGATGCTAACTGGTCAATGTCAATGCTTCCTCATGATGTTACCAGGGATATTCTCATGCGACTTCCCTTGAAAACCATCATTCAGAGTAGGGGTGTATGCAGGACCTGGCGTAGTTTACTCTCAGATTCTTGCTTCTCTAAACTGCAACGTGAAAGAGCTCAATCCATGCTTGTTCTTCGCTCGCCATCATCATGTGTTTCCAGGAAAGCTGCAGGTGTTGGTCCCAACGAGTTTTACATGGTTGACCTGGAATCGGCAGGTGTTTTAGGTCGCAACCATGTCATGAAGTTCAACACCAAAAACAATCTCCCTACCTGTCATGTCGAACTGGTGGGCTCGTGCAATGGTTTGCTTTGTTTGTTTGATAAAAATTCGAAGAAAAGCTTTTACCTTTGCAGTCCTATGACAGGTGAGCATGTCAGGACTCCTGTGAACTGCAAGAAGGAAAAACGGAAGGGAAAAAAATATTGGATGTGGTTTCAGGGTTTGGCTTTAGTCCAGAAAGTTATCGTTACATGGTTCTAAGAATAACCCGAAAAAGAATTACTCATCCTAATACTATTCTGTGCTCTGAAGGTGAAATTTGCATATTTGGAGAGGATGAGTGGAAAAGTATTGGGGAGATTCCATTCCCAGCTTATAAGAAATTCTTTGGTGTTTCTCTGAATGGAGCTCTGCACTGGATTGTCAACCTTGATGATGATGAATATCCTGATTTGATATGTGCTTTAGATATCGACATCCAAAGGATTAGGCCAATGTCACCGCCTAATGGTTTCAGGAAGGATACGACAGAGATGAGCTTGGGAGTACTAAGAGATCGTCTCTTTATATGTGACAATATGACTTTGTATGATCTTGACATATGGGTGATGAAAGATTATGGAATCAAAGATTCTTGGACGAAAGAGATTGTAATCACTAAGAACTCGCTTTCTTCGATGCTGCAAAATTGCTTTCTCCAGCCCGTTATGGTTTCTAAAGATGGAAAGGTGTTGATTTCTAGTGATTCCAATGCTTTGGTATGGTATGATCCAACAAGTAAGAGTTTCACTGATGTTACTCTACCCAGCAGGATTGGGCCTGAATTCGAAGCAGTTTGCTGCGTTGCAAGCTTTGATTCGCTCTCAGACATCATGAAGAAGAATGCAGGACGGATCTATGTGCCAGATAAGCATTCAGGATAATTTGGAACTTATCATTCATTAAACAAAATCTAAACTTTGCTAATGAACATTATTGTTTTTGTTGTATTGAGTATTGACTGTTTTCGTTTATTTATTTGCTTTGAGTTAGTTTTTGATGTGTGAGATTGTCATCTTTTCCGACTACTTATATTTGGGATCTTTTCATGAATGACTTGTTAAATGGAATGACTTGCGCCAGAACTGTCACCCATTAATGACTAGATTGATGAATTCTTGAACTGCTAGTCTTTTCTCAGTCTGTTATAGTTGCAATGAATATTCAATCTAGTAGAATATTATTTACAAACTTTTCCGGTCTGTGATATGCACCTAAGAATTTTCAATTTCTTCTGGATCACAAATTTACAATGTTCTATGATCAAACATTCTTACGTAGAGAGGCGAGTTTTTCAACTCATAATAGTAATGGTTTTATAGACACAGGAGACGATAATGGACAAGATATGCAGCTTTTAAGCATGTTTCACACATTGGTATATTCCCATTACAATTCTTCCTGAGCTTGCAACAAAGCATTGAAATCTCAGTTTAAAATTAAAATGTGGTAAGAATTGGTGACTGATTTGCACAGATGATTGGCCAGAGTGTTTCTGGTGCCAGTTTCTGCTTGCGAAAGTGCTCTTGGCCTAAACCTGTAATGAGCCTGCTCTCAATCCAATACCTCTCTGGTTACTGCTGAATTTTCTCCCCAAGGACATAAAAAGGTTAAATTAAAACAAACCCTAGTATTAATTTCTAGAGAACAAAAAATAGTTCTTTTTTTTTTGTACAAAATCGATTGACAAAAGGCCTATACATATACCCTCTGTGTTTTTCCACTCAACTAACATATAAACACATGAAATGAGGAATGCAAAAGAACAGATAAAGAAGGATTGTAATCATCTGCCTGCTACCATTGTGACTGTCACGTCGCTTGATGATGCTATTTCTTGTACTTCCGTAAATGTTTGTGTGTCTATGGAGGCTCTGACAGAAGTGAAAGTGGGTTGCCTAGGCAATGGAATGTTTGTTGTGTTGCTCTCCAGCATTACCACAACTGATGCCATGTTTGGTCTATGAAGTGCAGAATCTTGCACACATAACATGCCGATTTGTATGCATCTCAGAACTTGGTTTTCGTCACATGAATCTCGGATGGAAGGATCAACCATCTCCATTGCTTTACCTTCATCCCAAAGATCCCATGCCTGCAATCAACCAGAAATTGGATCAGATAATTGGAGAATTAGCTGTCGAAAATGTTGTGTTGAATCTCATCTCAAAGCTTAAATTGGCAACATTTTCTATGTACTTACGTAAGCAATAAGGATCACGTGATCTGTTAGACGGAAGCTAGTATTCCTTCGGCCGCTCACAAGCTCTAGGAGTAATACTCCAAAGCTATAAACATCAGACTTCACTGAAAATAGGCCTTCCATTGCATATTCAGGTGACATATAACCACTGCAAGATAAAAGTGACAGTCAGAAAAATCATGTTGTTGATTAGAGTTGAATATAAGTCATCTCATAGATATCAAACTTACTATGTGCCAACAACTCGGTTTGTATTTATTTCACTTTGGTTTGCACCAAATATTCTGGCCATGCCAAAGTCTGAAATCTTTGGGTTCATTTCTTCATCTAACAAAATGTTACTAGCCTTTAGGTCCCGATGAATGATTCTTAGTCTTGAATCTCTGTGGAGATAAAGAAGACCTCTGGCAATCCCTTCGATAATTGCGAAACGTTTACTCCAGTCTAATAGCCCTTGCTTCTCGGGATCTGCCATTGCGATCACAGGAAATCAGAAACACTTGACAGGCGTGAAACAAAATCATTATTTTGTTCTTTAACTAGCCTTTTTCCATTAAGCAGTAAATGTCTGTAAGAACTCACCAAAAAGGAAGTAATCCAAGCTTTTATTTGGCATGTATTCATAGATCAGAATCTTCTCCTCACCCTGAATGCTGCATCCTAATAATCGTACAAGATTCCTGTGCTGTAATTTGGCAATAAGAATGATTTCATTCTTGAACTCCTCTAAGCCTTGGCCAGAGATTTTTGAAAGCCTCTTTACAGCTATATCCTCTCCTCCTGGAAGCTTGCCCTAGTAATCAACAAGAAGAATAGTAAGGTTTAACTCTAGAATTCAGCTTCTCTTGTATTCTGATACATGTATAACACAAAATACTCACCTTGTAGACAAGGCCAAATCCCCCTGCCCAAGCTTGGTTTCTTCAGAAAAATTGTTTGTTGCAGCTGCTATACAGTTGAAATTGAACATTGGCAAATCTGCACCATTTACTTGGCCTCCTTCTATAACAAGGTCAGCAGGTCCAGAATGATCCGTTGAGTACCCTTTACTTTTGCTCAAATCATAAACTGGCAATTCACATTTTGTCGACGTGCAAGCTGAGGTAGCCGCTGGCAAAACTGAAGATAAAAATTCAGAAGGTAAGAAGTCATTTCTTATCAAGACGGAAATGATCTCTTAACCGAGCATGAAACTGAGAATCTTACCTTTGAGTCTCTTTTTGAGCATCCACAGAAGCCATATAGATATGGCTAGGAAGGCCAGTCCAGCCAAAACTATTAGTATTATCACATATGTAGCCATCCTGCTGCGACCTACGTCAAGGAAACAAATCAGAAGATATTCAACATAAAAACTAAAATAAACTGCTGCAAGATTTCATAACTTTTTCTTCATCTAATTGACTTAGTCCATTATCATGACAGACAAATTTTAATAGAAACCTAACTAGAACCATGACTCTGCATCTTAACCTTTTTCAAGATCATATTCCTGCAATTTCTGGGATTTTTGTCATGACAGAATGATGATCAGAAGAAGTAAAGAAATATGGATCATGTGTTACAATTTATTGCTGTCTTGAAGCCATTACTGTGTTTCTAAACCCAGAAAGGGCTATTGGATCAGAGGCTAATTCAATAGGCCTTGCTTATTTCCAATGTTGACAACAATAAATTTGAAATTATAATTCTATCAACCTTTCTGTGAAATCTAATTATAAACTACTAAATCAAAGCAAAAAACAATAAAAACAGCAATGGAAAAGAGTTAACTCTACCTAGTTCAGAATCGGCGAGACGCACGAACAGAGTGTTCCCACCTTGGATATAATCCTGGACATCAATCAAGTCTCCATTCCATATCATGCATCCAATCCCACTGACCTGAGCATAAGCCTTACAGGAACAGTTATTCAGACACATTTCTCTACAATTCTTCAAGACTGGTGTCACATCAGCAAAATCAGGCAACTTCGTGTGCTTTACTGTTTTGAACCCATCTTCTGCACCACTGCTGGTGTTCCTCGGGCACTGTAAAGGAGACCTTCTTTCACACCCACCTGACCAATTTCCTAGTCTCCACTGATCTACATGCCTTGGCTCAAACCCTTCCATACATTTGCATTTGGGAGATCCTGAGGTAGTACAGACTCCAAAATTGCCACAGTAATTGTATTTCTCACAGTCTTCAGAAGGCTGTGATTGCATTACTTGCCACTTCCTTTCACTTTCATTCCACCTTTTCTGCTCTTCAAATCCCTTCCAAGTTATCTGAAACCTCATCAATTCAGAAGTATCTGAAGGATTGTATGTAAAATAAAAGTTTCCGTCGCTTTCGCGAGTGAGCTTAAATCCATATCGGTAAGTGGTAAGAGCTTGCATATATGGCACACCTGAGAATATTAGTCCATTCCAATGCCCACTTCTCCACCTTCTCCTTGATTGCTCCCAAACCACTATCTGGGGTGCGCCGCGAGGATCAACCCCCATGGTGAAGTTTCCTGGTGAAGGATCATTTACAGATTTCCATGAAGTGAAGGCATGAATCTCTGCAGATCTCACAAGAACTTTCATGTGTGGCAAATAGGTATCGGTCGGATTATTAAAGCTTTGCCAATAGGCCTTATATGTGTCACCAACACTATCGTTGCTTGAGAGAATAAGATTACCTGTGATATCAAGCATGGCTGCTGTGTTACTAGACACAACTGAAGCATTACTTGACCAAACTGAACTTCCATTTCCATTTATAACCAACAAATTCCCATCTTCACCTATCCTCAAGACTCCATTACGACCAGAGATTGGTGTGTCCCTATTAGCAACCCAGATGACAGCCTGAACCTGAATCTTGTAATACCTTATACCAACATATCTCAAACTAGAATTTCCTGGGCTAAAGAATCCCAATTCAAAGTTTTCATCAACTGATATCAAGGTATCCCCATCTTTTAGGGATTGGCCTTTTGTGAGTGTATTAGTTGCAGCATGGCCGGAGAGAGCTAGAAACAACAAGGAATAAGAGATTGAGAAAAGAAAAACAAGAACTGGGTTCATCCTCATGGTGATCATTCTTTACAATCTCTGAAACTGACAAAGATTCAGAGAAAACAAAGAACTAGAAAGGCAGAAGAGGAAAAGATAAACAGATATTGTCAAAGGTTTGTTCTTTGTACATTCAAAGAAGGAGCTTCCCCTGATGGCTCGACATCTTGCCAGTGGTTTTGGTGGAAGCTGACTATAGTCTTTAACTAACCAGGCAGACAAGTTAGACTTAAAAACCTTAAGACATGCGGGAGATCCTTCAGAAACAACATACCTTGATATCAATCTGTTCCAATCTTTGACCAATACAACTTTAAATTGAAAAAGGAGGAGACTTTTGGTTGGTGATAGTCAAGAAAGTTCAATGCCACATGCCATTGACATTAGTGGAGGATGACTACTCATAACAAGGACACAGGAATTATATATATATATATATATTTTTTTTTTTTTACTGCCTAATAAAAATGAAAATATGGTAGATGATAAAACATAAGAAATGAAACCATGTGATGATCTTCTCTTGCTGTGATGGTAATTGATAAATCATTGATGAAGCTTGTTTTTCAAGAACTTGTAGGTTGTTGTCAAAATTTGTGTGCCAATTTCTGATATCCAAGTTCACATTTCATTTTC